TGAATATCTTTTCATGTGCTTAACTACCAACTGCGTATCATTTCTAGTGAAATGTCTGTTCATGTCTTATGCCCATTTTTTAATTGGATTGTTTCTAATTGTTCAGTTTTGAGAATTCTTTATATCGTCTAGATACTAGTCCTTTGCTAGATATACGGTTTGCAAATATTTTCTCCTGGCTTATAAGTTGTCTTTTGTTTGATTTTTTTAATTAACAGATTATTTTAACTAAATTATTTTTAAACAGGTTTAGATTTACAGAAAAATGAGCAGGTAGCACAGAAAGTTTCCATATACCACCCCCCATCCACTCATACATTTCCCCTATTATTACATTTTGCATTAGTGTGGCAAATTTCTCATAATTAATGAGCCAATACTGACACATTATTATTAACTAAAGTCCATAGTTTTTATCATTGAATAATGTTCCATTACATAGGTGTACCACTATTTATCCATTAATCTAAGGACATCTCCGTTCCCTCCAGTTTTGGGCAATTATGAATAAAGCTGCTGTAAGTATTTGTATGTAGGTTTTTCTGTGGATGTAAATTTTCAGTTCAATTGGGTAAATATCCAGGAGTGTGATTGCTAGATCATATGATAAGAATACGTTTATCTTGGTTAAAAACAAAAAACCAAAAACCCTGACAGATGGCATTTCAAAGTGGATGCACCATTTTGTATCTTTTATATAAGGTTGCATATCTTTTCATATGCTTATTTGCCATCTGTATATCTTCTTTGGTGAAGTGTTTGTTCAGATCTTTTGCCCATTTTTAATTGTGTTGTTATTGCTGTGTTTTAAGAGTTTTTCCAATACAAGTCCTTTATCGGATATGTGTTTTGCAAATATTTTCTTCCATTCTGAGTCTTGTCTTTTATTCTCTTAACAGTTTCTTTCACAGAGCAGAAGTTTTTCATTGTTATACAGTCTAAGTTATCAATTCAATAGATTCTCTCATGGATTGTGTTGGTGTTGTATCTGAAATTCCATCACCAAGCCAAAGGTCACCTAGCTTTTCTCCTATGTTGTCTTTTAGAAGTTCTATGTTGTTAAGTTTGTGTTCTGCATTTAGGTCTATGATCCATTTTGAATTAAATTTTATGGAAGGTTAAGTCTGTGTCTAGATTTTTTTTTTTTTTTTTTGCAAAAAGATTTCCAATTGTTCTACCTCCATTTACTAAAAAGATTATCCTTTCTCTATTGAATTGCTTGTACTCTTTTGCCAACAACTGACTATATATTTGTATGGATCTATTTTGGAGCTCTGTATTGTTTTCATTGATCTATTTGTCTATTCTTTCACCAAGACCACACTGTCTTGATTACTGTAGCTTTACAGTAAGTCTTTAAGTCAGGTAGTGTCAGTCTTCAAACTGTCTTTCTTCTTCCTTGCTGTTGTGGTGGCTATTTTGGGTCTTTTGTTTTTCCCTATAAACTTTAGAATCAGTTTGGCAATATCCACAAATCACTTGCCATAAGGGGAGGTGGAAGATTAGCTCCTCACCCGGCCCCACTAATAGCAGAGGAGAAGGGGGTGGGAGGTAAGTGCCAGAGGTAGCCCTACCTCTCACCACTTCATTCCACCTCACTGCTGCTGGGTGGGGATGAAGTTACAGCTTCACACTGGATCCCCGACACTCCCCCACTGGGGGAATCTGAGCATGGCACTCAACTTCCATGGAGCAGAGGGTGAGGCGAGAGACCAACTCCTTATTCAGCCCCCCTTGAAACCTAGTCTAAGTGTGTTTTCTTAGATTCTGTTGTCTATTTGGCATCCGTTCACCACAGGGCCAATTATATTAACTATATTTTCTTTAAAGATCCTGCAGAGCTCTGGAAAGGAAGAACAACAAAAACTCAAGAAAGATAAAGGAGTCTAGGAACAATAAATGCAGCATACCTTTCACCGGGCACCTGCTCCATGTCAGACACAAGCCTCCACCAGAACTCAAAGACGGAAAAAACTTCCACCAAGACCAAAAGAAAAAAACAAAAAAACAAGGCAGACCTGCAAAGCCACAGCAGTGCAAAGGGGTGCAGGGAGGAAGCACCCGGCTCCAGCATGTCAGGGAATGCCTTCCAGAGGAGCGGACATGGGGCTGTTCCTTGGAGGAAGACCGGGACTTATACAGGTAACAAGAAACGTTATGACCCAGAGGAGCAGCATCTCAGACACCCAGCATCTTTGGCTTGCCCCACACTATGCCACAGCTTCTGACTGACTTCTGAACATTTACACTGCGCTTAGTATGTGCCCGGCACGCTTCTGAGCAGCTTCTTTACGAGGAGTGTCTATCAGAATCACCTGGGGGAACTTCTCACTTGCAGATTCCGAGGTGCCTCCCAGATCTACGGTTTCAATCTAAGAGGATGGGTCACACCAGTTTTGTTATATGTTTTTTGGAACTAGCTCCCTAGACAATTCTGCTGCCCACCATTTCTCTCCCACTCTCCTGCTCCCACCTTTAAACAAACTCTCTGTGCTGGTGGGGGCGGGGGACCCAGATTTGTAACACCTGCTGATTTCTGGGGGGTCAATACGCCCACCAGGCCCAATTCAAGCCACCATTACAAATTAACAATTTAGGGGCACCTGAGTGGCTCAGTCGTTAAGCGTCTGCCTCCGGCTCAGGTTATGATCCCAGGGTCCTGGGATTGGGCCCCACATCGGGATCCCTGCTCAGCGGGAAGCCTGCTTCCCCTCTCCCATCCCCCTTGCTTGTGTTCCCTTTCTCGCTGTGTCTCTGTCAAATAAATAAATAAAATCTTAAAAAAAAAATTAACAATTTAATTTGACTTGCAAAATTCCTGAATAGTTAACAATGGACTCTCACAGGCCATCTTAAGAGCCAGCTCCACCATAACCAATGGCCCACACTTCCTCTCCCCACTGGTTAAGAAACACTACATTCCAGGAAAATAGAGCAGTTCATGACCTGCTCTAACGTTAAGTAGAACACCATTAATAGTTTGTATTGTAATAAAGTTAATTGCTGGGGCACCTGGGTGGCTCAGTGGGTTAAGCCTCTGCCTTCGGCTCAGATCATGATCCCAGGGTCCTGGGATTGAGTCCAGCATCGGGCTCCCTGCTCAGGGGAGAGTCAGCTTCTCCCTCTCCCTCTGCTGCTCCCCCTGCCTGTGTTCTGTCTGTCTGTCAAATAAATAAATAAAATCTTTAAAAAAAAAAAAAATCCTATGCAGAAAACTCTTAGAGCAAACTTAGTAATAACCACTAGGGGAAAAGAGATCAGGTTGCCCAGACAGGCGGTGAGGATGACAGGCCGCTCACTGTGTCTAAAGAGTAGAATTTCACCACGTGATGTCACCCTGGTACTTGCTTATTTATGTCTCTGGCACTCTCAGGCAACAGAAGTCTCTCGCTCACTAAAAGATGGGCATTCTTAACTTTTGTACCTCAAGTTGATTATGAAATTACATCGTATTTGTTGTTCATTACTTGAAAGCGGTTTTTATGTCATTTTTTTCCCCCTGGTTAAAGAAATCGATAATTTGCAGGAAGGTTAGGAGACAAAGGCAAGGAGGCATTTTGGAATCACAATACCTTGATTTAGCACAAGATTGATTTACCAGGCAGGCGAACTTGGACAAGATTTTGTAACCTCTCCAGGCCCTATGGGGGGAAATACTTGTAACTTCTACCTTGCAGGCTGGGAGTAAGTTATCTCGGTCGGGAGTCATGTCCTGCACTGGGCTTGCAGAAAGCTAAGATAAGGAAGTCGGCAGTTCCTGCCCTTAAGGAGCTCCACCTTTAACCTCGGGGACAAATATCTACACCAGAGAATATAGGACACTGGCCAGTAGACACTCTCAGGTTTCTGCATTTCAACATTGCGTGTTAGGACTTAAAATCTCTAAAATCTTGAGAGAAAGTCTTCACGTCTAGTAGCCGATTTGTTGGAAAATAAATGAAGTGTTGGTCTTAAAATTTCACTTGCAAGAGCCCTCTCCAACCCCAGCCCCTCCTCTCCGCAAACTGCCCTGGAGGAATCCACTACCGAGAAGGACACGGACGCCAAATGTTCGGTCCCAAGGGGCAGACGCGCAGGCTGAGTGCGTCGACTCTCGGAAACAGAGGCCGCCGGTAGAGGGCGCTCCGGGCCCGGTCGCATTCTGAGCTCACTACGCCACGGGGCACCGGGTGTCTGAGTTCGCTGCTCCCCGCTGGCTCAGCTTCAGGTTGGCCTCCTTCCCGGTAACAAACGTCGCCGCGGCGGTTCCAGGCCACACCAATCCCACGTCAAGCTCCCCAGCGAACGGCCTGTGACTCGGCTCGGGCCCACCGAGTCACATGCTCACTCTAGCTAGGCAGATAGACAGCGGCTCTGATGGGCTTCGCCCCTGGGCTCTGCAGAGGGAGACAGCCCTGGGCCACATGTGATGCCCACGCAGAAGATGGAAGTTGTAGGGAAGGGTTCAGGGGGAATTGGAGGCATCAGCCATCGGCTCCGCCTGGGGCATATTAGACCCGGGTGTGGCCTCGCTTTCCGGGAGGAACGAGGGGAGGCAGGTGGAGTTCGTGACCTGCTCTTCATATACACTCCTCTTCCCTGTACTAGCATCACTTTCACAGAGAGCGGGCTCTTCAGTTTCTTGCCTGAGAAATTCCCACCTGGAGGCTGACCATTCTGCTCACCCCCTACCTGCAGCGCATGGGAGGGGGGGGACTGTGCTCTCAGGGACCAGTCGTTACCCTCCCCTCCCCTGTCCCATTTTGTCTCACACGCTTCACTCGTAGATCCTCCCCTACTTGGCACTCCCAAGTCCCCAAACTCCTGCAGGACAGGAAGCCAGCTTCACCCACCACGAGCACCTTGCAAGCCTCAGGCAGCAAACTTCCTGCCCTGCATCCACTTTCCTTCTTCCAGAATCAGGCAGAAATCTCGGGCCTCCTGCAATCCCTCTACCATCCTTATTTGCAGTGGGATGAAACATCGGTATCTTCTACCATCACTTTAACGTAGTCCTAGGAGGGAGAGGAGACAAGCGCACGTTTGGTTGGTCATTTTAAGAGGGAAATCACTGACCTGTAGTTTTCTGCCAAAATTAAATCTTCTGTTGTGTCTGTGATGAGCTTGGATAAATTCATGTCAAGGATGAAGTGTTTCTACAGCCTCTACCATTAGCGAGGAGAGGACCAGGAGAGGAGGCAGTGAGGCGGTTGACTGTGGAGAGGAAAGGTGCTGAGGATGTGGGGAGCAAGGAAGAGATGGGGAGCAAGGAAGAGATGGAGAGCGAGGAAGAGGCATGGTTTTTGGAGATCTCCAAGACCAACATGTGGAAGAGGGTTTCTGTGTAGCCCTAGCTTACTGCCTGTGATTTGGGGCACGGCACTTTCCTCTGTTTCCCTGTCTGTAGCTCATCAGGATGTTAGGATTAGTATTTATCAAAGGTTCTTGGAGCACGAGCAATAGAGAAGAATGCCGGCTAATTAAGCAAAAGATGCTGCAGCAGCAGGTACGCGTGAAGAGATCAGGGTGGGAGAAACGGGAGCAACCTGAGCCTGCGAGCCCCACTGAAAGAACCCGCATTCAGGAAAACACGCATACACTGTGCCGGCCAAACGGTAATGTGCCTCCTGGCACCATCGACCTGCAGCCCCCAGTCTGCAACCCCCCTCCCCCAGGAAAGAGCGCGGGTCCCTGCCTAGCCCCACGGGGACTCCAACCCCGGGCTAGAAACCCAGTTCTGGGCTATGGGGAAGGACTTAATGGCCAGGCATTGGGCAATGAAAGACCGCGGCTGGTTCTTTCGCAAGCCCGCGGCCTCCAGCACGGGCCGGGACAGACGCAGCCTTGCCCGGTGCCCCGAATCAGGACTCCTGTCTAAGGTAAGAGGCAGCTCAGGACCATTCGGGAGCCCATCAGCTCCCACAGCTCACCAGTGTCTGACCCCGCAGACGCTTGGCCATGGGCTCCATCAGCAGGGGGGGGCTGGGCAAAGAGGCGGGAGCCACCCTCCTCTAGGCAGACGGTCATCCCTGAGCTGCAATCTCACAGGACTCACCAGCTTCTCCCTTACCCTGAAGCCACCAAGTGGCCACCACGCCCAGCACTTCTCTCTTTACAGCTTTCCAGGACCACCTCCACCTTCCCACCCCCAGAAACACAGCTCCGGACTCGTCTCCTTACCAACATGGGTGACCACCGAATCCCCCACTAGCTGTGTGTGATCCCGAGGGAAGGGTCACATTCTGGTCATGGCTGCTAACCATTAAGAACCACTACAGACTGAATGTCCCACCCCGACCCCTACTGGTCCCTGTGGTCAATTCACATGTTGAGAGCCTAGTGCCCTAGGTAACGGTATGAGGTGGGGCTTTTGAGAAGTGACTGGGTCATAAGGGCAGCCCTCATGAATGGGATTAGTGCCTCTGTTAAAGGCCTCGTTCCCTATCCCTTCCGCCCTGTGAGAACACAGCACGGTGCGCGCAACCAGAACCCAGAAGAGGGCTTTCACCAGAACCCAGCCATGCTAGCAACCTGATCTTGGACTCCCAGCCTCCAGAAATAAATTTCTGTTGTTTAGAAGCCACCTGGTCTGTGGTCTTTTGTTACAGCAGCCCACCCCCTAGAGCAACCATGTCTACGCTTCTGGAAATAATCATGGCCTGGCTCAGAAGACTAGGCCCCTCCCTCCCGGTCCTCCAGTTCCCTGCGTCTCTCCTGCAGGGAGAGAATCACGTGATTTCCAAAGGGCTTTCCGGTTTCCTCTGGCATCCTCTGGCATCCTCTGGCCTCGGTGGCTTGGCTTTGCCAGCGCAGAAACAGCTCAGTCTGGCCGGGGTTGGAAGGGGTAGGGCCCAGAAGAGGCAGAAATGGCTGCTCACAATCAGAGGACGCACACGCATGGGCTACACCTTTGAAAAGGGCCGGTTGGGGGGGGGGGTGCGGTTAGTGAGCGCGCCTGGGGAGATCCAGCAAGGAGCAGCAGTGGGAAGATGTGGGACCACCAGGGCAAGAAACAGGAGTCTGGCCCCTGGCTAAGTCGCCCACCACCACTTAACAGGGGGCTTCGTTTGCCTCTTGGTCCGCGCGAGCAAGCGATCTGCCTGCTGGGCTGGGTTTCGAGCTCGGGGGAGCTAACAGCACTCCGGGTCCTGGGATGTCCCCCTCGCGATGGGGGCTGAGCCACAGCGCACCCTCCCCAGCCCTCCCGGTACTGCGGACCCAGCCGAGCAAAAGGAGCGGAGATGGCTCCGCCCACATCGCCCGCCTCCCCCGGCTGCGGGACGAGAGCAAGAAACCCAGACTGGACCAGACGACTGCACGGGGAGGCTTTATGCGAACTTCTGTGGATGCGTAGAGCGGTCGCAGGCCGCCTGCCCACCAGGCCCCGCCTGTCAGGGCCCCGCCGCTCAGCACTTGCCGTAGACGGCCGCACTGCCCCGCTCCTCGAACTCTTCCTTGCTGACCCAGAGCTGCTGGAAGGCCTGCAGGGAGGCCAGGATGGAGCCGCCGGTCCACACGGAGGTCTTCCGCTCCGCAGCAGCAGACACCGCAGGGCTGGCCCCGGGGCAGAGGAGGCTCAGCTCCCTCTGGAAGCGCTCGGGGAAGCCATCCAGCATGGTGCAGCCACCGCACAGCAGCACGTTGGCCGCCATCTCCTCCTCGAAGCCCGCCTCCTGGCAGCGCTCCAGGCAGGCGGCCGCGAGCGCGGGGAGGCCCGGCTGGTTGCTGCCCACCAGGGTGGGCTTGAAGAGCATCTCGGCGCACTGGAAGCGCTCCCGGCCAATGGTGATGAGCTTGCCGTCGGGGAGCTCGTAGTCCACGCGCATCTCCTCCAGGCACAGGCCGAGCTCCTGCTCGGGCAGGAGTGCCGAGTAGCAGCACTTCTTCTTGATGTGCTCGATGATGTGCAGGTGGTCGTCCGTGAACTTGTGGCCGGCCTCGTTGAGCAGCTGCAGCAGGTAGTTGGTGAGGTCGCTCCCAGCGTAGTCGGCTCGGCCCGTCAGGCCCGGCAGCACGTCGCCCTCCGAGATGGGCACCACATGCGAGACGCCGTGCCCGCTCTCCACCACCAGGCCCGAGGTCTTGCCGTAGGAGTAGATGGACAGCAGCGACTGGGACGTCACATGCATGGCAGGGATGCCAAAGGTCTCGAACATGAGCTCCGCGTACTTCTCCCGGTTGCTGCTGGGGCTGAGGGGGGGGTCCGAGACCAGCACCGCATGCTCCTCGGGGAGGATCTTCATGGCTGTGTGGAAGACGTACTCCCAGATGCTCTGGACGCAGTCCCAGTCCACCACGATGCCGTACTTGAGCGGGTTCACCAGCTTCAGGGGCGCCTCCGTGTTGAGCAGCTCGTGGCCCACGTAGGTCTCCTTGCGAGTGTCACCAGCATCCGCCGCCTCAGAGCAGTGCTTGCCCACAGTGGAGGAGATGAAGTAGGTGGGCCTCGGCTCGCCCGCGTAGCCACACTTACAGTACTGGGAGCCCAGGTCGATGATGAGGGCCTTGATCTTGCGCACCTTCCTGGGCTTCATCTTCAGCTGAGCTGCCGAACACGTGTCCCGGATGCCAGCATCGGGACCTGGCAGTGTTCCTGCCTCTCCGGGGTCACCCTGAGCCGTGCCCAGAGGCATGGGGCTAGGGCTGCTCCTCGTTGCCATCTTCCTTCTTGGCTCACCTTTCTCACATCCACATCCTAGAGCTCCGTGGGGAGAAATAAGACGGTCCCCCTCCAGCAGTGCCTCGGCAACCCCTCAGGATTGTGATGTCACTGACGGCTGGTCCATTCTGGCAGCCCCGGGGAGGGCTTGGCCTTGGCAGGCCCTTGATCTGCCACCCCCACCGCCATCCACCTCACTCGACTTTGCTCCAAGACAGAGCAGGCGGCCAGCATTTTCAGAAATCCAAGCACACTGGGGTCTCGGGTTTCCAGCTACCCGCCCCTTACACCCCTGCTTCTATTGCCCTGTCCACTGACCGGACAGCTTTTCTTCATCTGCTGCTTGACTGAGAGGGTGAGAAAGATCTGAGCCCCTACAGGAAGCCAGGCACTGTACCGGGAACCTCACATATGTTACTCCCCAGAATCCTGAGACGTATAGGCAGAGCCGAGGAAATGAAGGCTCGGAATTCAGACGATTTGCTCAGGAGCAAACAGTTCCTGAAATGTTTGTCTTTTCACTCAAGTTCATTCAACTCCAGTGCACCAGGTCTTCGAGCGTGAGGGCTCCAACAGTGCCCTCATCCCTTCATTCAACATTTCCTGGGGCTGGTGGCAGTCCAGCCCAGGGCAGCTTGCCAGCAATAGACCAGAAGGCTGGCCACAGCAGTGTCCCGCCTGGGTGGGAAGGAGACCGAATGAATGCAGACGAATTTGTAGGTGGAAGGCTATTGGGAGAACAAAGGTGCATGAGGAAGGAGTGATTACTAGAGGGAAGGAGTCAGCAGGTTCTTCAGAGAGGTGACCCTAAGGCAACTACTAAAGGGTATGTAGGGGGGCGCCTGGGTGGCTCAGTCGTTAAGCGTCTGCCTTCGGCTCAGGTCATGATCTCAGGGTCCTGGGATCGAGCCCCGCATCGGGCTCCCTGCTCGGCGGGAAGCCTGCTTCTCCCTCTCCCACTCCCCCTGCCTGTGTTCCCTCTCTCGCTGTGTCTCTCTCTGTCAAATAAATAAATAAAATCTTTTTAAAAAATAAATTTAAAAAATAAAGGGTATGTGGGTAGTTGTCAAGTGGCGAGGAGGGGAAGGCATCCCAAGCAGAGAGCATAACCTGAGCAAAGCTGGGGAGGCGGGGGGAGAATGGTGGGAACTTCTAGTAGTTAAATGTTTGGGAAAATAGATGAGGCTAGAGAGTTCCTGGAGCCAACAAGGGAGGGCCTCAAACGCTCGGAGGAAGAGCTTGGGTTACATGGAGGACAGCCGGGGAACAAATGAAGACTTTAAGCAGGGGGTGGTCAGATCTGACCTAGGGAAAATTGGGAAAAGATCTGTGTTTAGCTGTGATGTAGAGGGGCAAGGCCACGGAAGACATTCTTGTAAGACGTGCAGGTGACCTAAGCCAGGCTGTGCTGGTGTGAAAGAGGAGGAGCAACACATTCTCCAGAAGTTCAGAAGGTAGAACTTGGTTGGTTTCCCAACTATCCCCCATTCAACCCAAGCTCTTACTCTAGCATTTAAGGCCTTCTCTCATTGCTCCTGTGACATCGCTCACCTCAAACACCGCATTTACATCAGGTGATCAGACTAGCTGTGGAGAGTGAGGGAGAGGGAAGGATGAATCCCTCGCCTCCGCCAAAAAAAAAAAAAAAGATGGCCTGTCGTCCAGAACAGGCCCATTCATTAGGTTTCCATAGGGCCCTCCACCCCAAACCGTCCTCCCTCAAAAAACAAAACCAAAAAACCCCCAGGTGATTCATAAGAAACCCTGTATTCTGGCATTTTCCTCACTAGATTCTCTTTCTTCCCTCCCATAGCTGCTAAAATTACGGGGGCCTGGTTCACCTTTCTTTCAAAAATCAAGGGTGGGTGGTGTTTGAGCAATAGAGGGCGCCTCTAACCTGGAGGGACCTCACCAGAGACCCTAGGGAGCCCACGAGTACCTTAGATGGCTAGTGACAAGTATGGGGGCTTGTGCATGCCAGGCACTGAAGGTTTGGGGTGCAGTGTGCCAATGGTCTCCATATTCTCCCATCATCGATACCATTAACTGTGTCCTGACCCCCGAGAGGAGAGAAGGAACATAAAGGAGGACACAGAAGCTAAGGGAAAAGGGCTTCACTTAAGAGAGAGCATCCAAGCATGCAAAATCCTGAGGTAAAGTAAAAGGAGTGAAAAGCATCCAGTGACTTTAGCCTGAAGGATGCGGCGTGGACCGAGCGTCCCTGTGCTCTTCGGCCTTACAGACAAGATGGAGCCACTGGCTTTAAGCCCACAGAGCACCTCTCCCACCCACACTGACAGAAAGGGCCAAGGAGGGGTGAGCCTGGTGGGGGTGGGGGGAGCACGGGAAACACAGCCTGGCAGGCTTTAGTGTCCTAGGGACGTGGGAAGCGCAGGTCAGGGGACAGGGTGAATAATGGTCCCCAAAAGATGTCCACATCTTTAATCCCTGGAATCTGTCAATGTAACCTTTCATGGCAAAAGGGACTTGGCAGATAGGAGTTAAGGAGTTTGAGATAGGGAGGTTAACCTGCATTATCTGGGTGGCCCTGAAGTAATCATCAGGGTCTTAATAAGAGGGGGACAGGAGAGTGAGGTCAGAGAATAGTAGGACAACAGAAGCAGAAGCCTGACGGATCTTTGAAGATGAAGGGGCCCCGAGCCAAGGAATATGTAGGCGGCCTCTAGGGAGCTGGAAAAGGCTAAAGATGATCGCCTAGAGCCTTGGGAAGGAACGCGGCCCTGCTGATAGCTTGATTGTAGCTGAGAAGGACTGTAGACTTCTGACCTCCGAATCGTAGATAATAAATTTGTGTTTGAAGCTACTGAATATGTGGTGATTTGCCACAGCGGCCACAGGAGAGGAGCAGGGGCTCTTACAGGAATCCAGGGCAATAAAAAAGTGCTAGGCAGCTGCACATCCGTCCGAATTCAAGACGAGGGTTGAGAAGGGAAAATAGGTCATTCTACATTAAGTATGCCTTTGGGTATCACATAAACATTCTTTTGAAGTGAAGTCAAACAAGCCACGTTGGCCATGAGAACCCCTACTGAACAGCAGAGGCAAGTACACCATTTTTTAGGCAGCCAGGCATAGAGAAAGCACTTTCTTCTTCTCTCACAATTCAATGCCAACTCATCCTCTACCCATCGAACCAAGAAGCTGACACTGTCTTTGAGATGACATCAGATGGTCACAAGACTGGCCTTGGTCCTTTTCTTCTCTCAACCCGCCCCCCCAAGGAGCCAAGAGCCTCCCCAGTAACCTCCTTGAAGGAGAAAGCCCCCTCACCTTGGAGTAACTGCGTCTTTTATGACAAATGTGGGACTGCCTAACAAAAAGTTGGCTCCTGGGTGCCTTGACAGGGACAGGTGTCAGCCCGTATGTGCCTAGCTTCCGAGATGGCATGTGATATGATGGCCACATGGCCTCAGAGACACGTTTTGGGTCTCACTGAGGTATGTCCACACCTCACCCCGGGGAAGAAGTCTCAGTCGGGAGAGCTTGGCTCCCGCTGGCTGGATATGCACGAGTGAGCCATGCACCTGAGAACCTCAGCGTTGTCATCAGTGCGACTCTGTCCGGTCTGATTTCATCGCCGACCCAAGGACCTGCGTGAAGGAGCGTGCATACACATACACGTCTAAAAATTCTTCTGTGGGCTGTCCGAAGGGACAAGGGAGACAGAAGTGCTTGGCACGGTCGCTCCAGCAGCAAGCAGGCCTGCCGAAATCTCAACCTGGCAGTGTCAGCTGTGCCCAAGTCTCCAGTGCCTTCTGGCCTCATGCAGAGTCAGAGCCAAAGTCCTAGCCATGGCCCAAGAGGATGGATGCGGGCTGCTCGCCATCCCCACCCCCTCCTCCCACCTCCCGTAGTCTTCCTTGCTGTCCCCACTCGGCCTCTAACTCAAGGGCCGACAAACTTTTCCTGTAAAGGGCCTGATAATCAACACTGTCAGCGTGGCGGGCCGTGCGCTCTTTGTGGCAATGACTCAACTCTGTGGTTGCCCCACAGAAGCAGCCACAGACAGTACGTCAATGAGCATGGCTGTGTTCGGATAAAGGCTGATTTACAACAACAGGCTGCGGGCCCTGGTTTGCTGACCCCTCTTCTCACTCATCGGTCACAGGCGCGCCTCCACCATCTGCACCTGCTGCTCCCGATGTACACGATACACCAATACACGCCTGGCACTGTCCCTCCCCTCCTTCAGGGCCGCACGCAAGTGTCACCCTCTCAGGACCCCTGCCCAGGCACAGAACATGGCCACCGTCCCCAAGCCCCTTCCCTGCCTGTTCTCTCTTGCCCTTACCATTTTCTGACAGCTGTTTGTTCTGGCTACTGCCTCTCTCCCCAGCCCCCACTGACTAGAGTGTAAACTCTACAAGGGCAGAGATTTTTGTCTTTTTCCCTCCATAGCTTTTTTATTCCCAGCTGCCTTGCACGTAGCAAGCACTCAATAAATAACTGATTGGTTAAATCACGTTTATTACAAAATCTAGAAGAAGGTTAAGTGACTTCCAAAACACTACCCCAAATCCACCCTAACATGGGACACAAGTTCCCAGTATCTAGAAAGCCCCGGGTCACCAGATTATGTCACAATCAGTGATGTCATCGTTGGAGAAATTCTCAAGTTGCCCTCTGAAATAAGCCTTTCAGGCCTTGAAGCCGGTGGGATTGAGGAACTTTCTGAGAGCAAAATGGCTCTTGATAGCATGTGGGCTCCCCAGGCATCAATCATCGGGGATGGGCCTGCCAAGAACGTGGGTGAACAGGCCCCCCTACAGACACACGTCCTCCAGACTGCCTCCTTAAAAGATGGACCAGCGAAGCGGGCAGTGTGGGTCCGCTGTAACCGTTCAGAGCCAGAAGAACCTACTCAATCAACGATGGTCAAGAAACCCAAGCAAGAGGTGACCAAAGCAGTGGTCGTGGACCTCGGCACTGGCTCCTGCAAATGTGGCTTTGCCGGGCTGCCGAAACCCACCCATACCATCTCATCAACAGTGGGCAAGCCCTACATGGAGACGGCCAAAACTGGGGACAATCGCAAGGAGACATTCGTGGGGCAGGAGCTCATTAACCCAGCGGTTCGTCTCAAGCTAATTAATCCTCTGCGACATGGCATCATCGTGGACTGGGACACAGTGCAGGATATCTGGGAATATCTCTTCCATCAAGAGATGAAGATCGCCCCAGAGGAGCACGCAGTCTTGGTTTCAGACCCACCCCTGAGCCCGCACACCAACAGAGAGAAGTACGCTGAAATGCTGTTTGAAACCTTCAGCACTCCTGCAATGCACATCGCCTACCAATCCCGCCTGTCCATGTACTCCTACGGGAGGACCTCTGGCCTGGTGGTGGAGGTCGGCCACGGCGTGTCCTATGTGGTCCCCATCTATGAGGGTTATCCTTTGCCCAGCATCACCGGACGCCTGGACTATGCGGGCTCTGACCTGACAGCCTATTTGATGGACCTGATGAATAATTCGGGGAAACACTTCACCGAGGACCAGATAGGCATTGTGGAGGACATCAAGAAGAAATGCTGCTTTGTGGCCCTGGACCCCATCGAAGAGAAGAAAGTCCCAGCCACTGAGCATACAATCCAGTACACTCTGCCTGATGGGCAGGAGATAAACCTGTGCCAGGAAAGGTTCCTCTGCTCAGAGATGTTCTTTAAGCCTTCTCTGATCAAGTCCATGCAGCTGGGGCTCCACACTCAGACCGTGTCCTGCCTTCACAAGTGTGACATTGCCCTCAAACGGGATCTCATGGGGAACATCCTGCTCTGCGGGGGGAGCACTATGCTCAGTGGTTTCCCTAACCGGATGCAGAAGGAGCTGAGCACCATGTGTCCCAATGACAACCCGCAGGTAAACGTGCTGCCCGAAAGGGACACTGCAGTGTGGACAGGTGGCTCCATCCTGGCATCGCTTCAGGGCTTCCAGCCCCTGTGGGTCCACCGCTTTGAGTACGAGGAGCACGGGCCTTTCTTCCTCTACAGAAGGTGCTTCTGAACTCTGACCAAGCATGGTTGCCATGAGGCAGCTTTGCTGGGTGAGCACCCACCCAACACATAGGGAGCTGAGTCCACAAGTTTGCTCCTGTAGTAGTAAACAATCCTCGTGTTCCCTCCACAGTGTGTTTCTCTATTTCCTGACTTAATAAGAGCAAGTTCATATATGCAGCATGTGCCAAACAAAAGTCGGGGGGTGCGTGAAACAACAAAGGCATGTATGTGTTGCTTGCTTACACGTTCTTGGGAAAAACTAGCTCTAAAGTTATTCTGTCCCTTTTTTGTATTCCCCGTTTTAGGAACTATCGCACTGTTAAATCTGCCCAGAAGGGGAGCGTGAGGAAGACAGATTACAGAGTCAGTGCTGTTAGGGCATATAGAACATTCCTTTTGACCAACAACAGGAAGTCTGCTATAACGGTTCAGTCTCCCACAAAGCAGTGGAGTACATTTCATGCTTCAGGAAGGCTTGTAAAGAGCTGACGAAGCTGTCTGATCCCTGCTTAAACTGTACTTTCTTTTAGTTCCAACAGGAGCTTATGTCTCAATGCCAGCTCTTTTATCAAGCCATCATAGTGACCGGCTGTTGAAACCTGGCATGTAATGAGCAAGGTGTATGTGTGGGTCTGAGGGGGCAACTCTTCAGCGGCTCATCACCCACTAGACTGGATTCCCCATCAACCTGTAGGATATACGGCTGGAATTTGGGATGGGCACAGGATAGAGGCTGCCAGTTCTGGGGCTAATGGTTTGCAGGAACCTGCCCTACGCTGATCATTCTAACCCAACTGAGGAGCCAGAAGGAACACTCAGTCCCTCAAGATCAGAGAAGCCCTTCCAGGGCCCAGCATGTTCTGTAGGTAGTCTTATAGGGCCAGTTTTGTAAATGGAACACAGATTTTTTTTAGTCCCCAATACATTCTCTGCCTGTCTCTAAACCTCGGCACCTGAACATTGGCAGGGAGCAGCATCAAACAGTGGAAAGAAATGGGCTTTGAACTCTGATTTAGAACCCTATTTCACTACCACCTAACTGTACGGCCTGAGTCTACTTACCTATAAAATTGAATTCAAAGGCCTACTTCACATAGCTGATGTAAAAAACAGAGATAAACACTGAAATATTAGTATCTGGCCTCTGGGAGGTGATCACAAGAGCTAACTAGAATTATCTTGTAGACTTATTTTATACAGGAGCCCCAAAGTCTTTTTTTTTTTAAGATTTATTTTAGAGAAAGAGAGAGCATAGGAGGCGGGGGAGGGGTCAAGGGGGAGGGAGAGTCTCAAGCAGGGCTTGATCTCACGACCCTGAGATCACAACCCGAGCCGAAACCAAGAGTGGGATGCTTAACCAACTACACCACCCAGGCGTCCCTCACCATGGTTCTTAGTCACATGTACACCTAAAGGTAGGCATTCAAGCACTCACAGGAGAGGTAATGGCATCTCTACCATCCCCAGGAGAAGCCCTACAGAGCCATCTTCATAGTATCCAGGTTTGCCTAAACTGCCTCGAAAGACCTAAATGCCCAACCCTGGATCCAGGCCCGGTAAGCACGGCTGACTGGCACCAGCAAGCCAGAATAGAGAAATAAAGACCCACACAGAAGGGCTTCTGAAGTTCCTATAGTTAAGCAAGGATGACTAAACCTTACTCTGAAGTATCAGAGGATCACCCAGCAGTTGGGTACATTGACTTGAGAGGGAGGTATAAGGTCTTATTCACCTCAGTTTCTGTCCAACAGTCCATGAACATTCACGGTTGGGCAGGTTAAAATTTGATTAATTCCTAACCTTTGGATCTCACTGGCAGGGTGCTAAAGCCTTTGGACCCCTCCTCAGAACAATACGTTAAAATGCATAAAATAAAATACATAGAATTACAGAGAAAGCCAATCATACAGAAACAGACTATCTTTAAATCCCCTAAGTATCTATGAACCCCAAGTCAAGGATCCCCAAAAAAGGTGAGTCTTGATGAAGGGGAAGCCTGGGAGGTGGCTCTGGAGGGAAATCTCCAGGCCACGGGAGGTCTAAATGTTCTGCTGCACTTTAAAATGAAAAAACTAAAAAAAAAAAAAACAAAAAAAAAAAAGGAAAGAAAAGAAAAAAAATACCAATATAAAGCTAAACAACTACATATCTTTTTCAAAACACTTTTATGGGAGCACCTGGGTGGCACAGTCAGGTGTCTGACTCTTGCTCAGATCATGATCTTAGGCTTGTAAGACTGGGCCTCACGTTGGGCTCCATACTTAGCGTGAAGTCTGCTGGAATTTCTCTCTTCCTCTCCCTCTCCCTGTGCGCTCTAAAATAAATCTTTAAAAAAAAACCACTTCCATGAATTCTCACTTGATCCTTACACAATTCCCCTTGTAGGATAAAAAGTCAACTTCACGGAAGAGAGAAAGAAAGAGATGAATAGTTTTAGTAAGTGCATGAAAGTCATCCTAGCCTAGGGGGCAATTTTGACCCCCCACGAGACACTTGACAATGTCTAAAAATGTTTTTGGTTATCAGAACAGGAGTGGGAGATATATAGTGCTGGCAATCTGGTGGGTAGAGGCCAGAGATATTGCTAAACATCCTACAATACACAGGGTAGCTCTCTACAACAAAGAATTATCGATATGACCCAAAATGTCTATAGTGCTAATGGGTACACAAGGCTGGAGGAAAGCAAGATTCAGTGAGATTAAATGTGTCTGTCCAGGTGTGCCTGGGTGGCTTAGTGGGTTAAGCGTCTGCCTTCAGCTCAGGTCATGATCCCAGGGTCCAGGGATCGAGCCCCACATCAGGCTCCCAGCTCAGCGGGGTATCTGCTTCTCCCTCTCCCTCTGCCCCTTCCCCCACTCGTGCTCACTCTCTCTCTCAAATAAATAAAATCTTAAAAGAAAAAGTCTCTGTCCAAGGACACTAAGATGGGTGGACCCATGGCCTTGTTCTTTCCTGTATACTAAGAGAATATCTGTTGGTCTTAAAACCCTTGGGACTTCAGAGCCAGTAAGATTAATGTGGACGTGAGGCACAGGCAAGGGCTTAGGGATCACAGAGGACGCAAGAATCAATTCAGTGTCCCCAAATGTCACCATATTAGCTTTGACTTGTCTATAGCTTCTTGGATATTAATGGTTACCTAGCTTCTTAGATGTTTATTCTCCTCACCTCAGTTACTAATAAATACAACAGACAAGAAACAATAGCCAGAAACTCTTAAGGGCTTGTTCAGGTGGTGCTTCTAGAGAAGCACAAGTTTATGGGGAGGCACAGGAAGCAGAAAAAAGCTGATTTTGTTTCCCCAACTTGTAGTAACCTTAAATTACTAAGAATCATTAGTTGTATTTACTTTTGAAAACACCTTCTTCAATTATGGCTATGAACAACCCCTGAAAGGTAAACCTGTGTGTCTACACACGTGTGTGTATATATATGTAGACATGTATGGAAAATGAATTTATTTTAAAATACGTGGCAGTACTAAAAAATTACACCAAGGTACACTCATAAAAACGTAACAAAAACATTACCTCCTGCCTCAGTTTTTTTTTAAAGTGTAAATTTAAAATGGATTGTAGGAGACAGTCCTCTGCAAGTTCCCTCTTGATGTCTGGAGCATCTGAGCAAAGCTGACTCAATGGCACCAACAAAATAACTGGGGTTTTTAGCTTACTGCAGTATGAACTTGCTTTGGGACAGAGTTCAAATCTGGTGGAAGAGTTACATATTCTTTTCCAGGACCCTGACCAAGCCTTTCGCCAAAATTAAGTATACATCACTTCCAGAAGTTTCTCCTCTTCCCATACACTGCACTTTCCCCATGAATTCTTCTGTGACTTTGCCTTCAGCCTGGAAGGTCTGCTCCAGCCTGCTCCTTCTCCAAATGAACAAAATTCCATCTTGCTCACAGGAAATAGATAGTAATTGACAGTAACATCATCTCAAGGAAATGGAACATCTATGAAAAGTCACACGAGTATCAACAGACACATTTACTTCTATTTCCAATCCATCAGGCATGGGTAACATTATCCATAGCAAGAGCACTATAATATATTAAAATGCCGTATGTTCATTTACCCAGGTCAAAGAGTAGTCACAAAGAACATTCAGCCTTTCAGTGTGGGGCACTTAATTATAGCAAATCCATCACGGGTATAAATCAAAAAGTAGATTTCTACAAGGCAGGAAATACCTTCTTTTTTTTTCCTATTATTTTGTAAAAATTTTCAGACACACAGAGAAGCTTAATTATACAAGCAAACACACCTAGATTCTATAGTTAACATTTTGCTATTTAGGGAGCAAATTTAATTACAATTCTGGGCATATCTATACTCCACGGATCAGAGGGAGTATTTTCGTTTATGTACAGTCATGAACGTCTGGTTCAGGTATTAGAGGCATGGAAGAAATTTTTAACCTTACCCAAGAATCAGCCACATAACTGTTGTCAAAATGAATTGAGCTTTTTCTAGACTCACCAAAAAGAGAAAACATTCTCATTTTTTCCAGAGAAAATAACTAAAAGACAGAAATCAGTAAAGCACCATAAAGAAAAATAAATGAAATGGCCTTGACACTGACAAAAACCTTTTAGTGAAAAGCAGCAATTACTTGGAGAAAAAAGGAATAACTTACAATTGTGCACACTGTTCACCATACCAAATGTGCACGATACTGTTTCAGAAATTCTAATCCGTTCCAGCTCTAACACTGCTAAATCCCTAGCAGAAAATTCACAGGCAGTAAAAATAGTCCCTATGGACACTAGTGATAGGAGCTCAATGCCGTTATAACTGGAAGCAGAGGACCTGGTAAGATATTATAAAATAACAGCTGTCAGCAAAGGAAAGCTTAGAATTTCAAAGGATATATTTAGCTTTTTATTCTGCTTTAGTTCAAGGTGAAGAAGTCATTTAAGTGATTAAAGTTCACCAATTGTTGGTAGCACGAATAGCCAACATCGTTTATATATAATGCTCTCCTGCCGGAACATAAAATATTTAAAAAACATTATTTTCTTTTCCTCACACTTTTGAGGTAGACGCCATGAAACATTATTCCCAATTAACTGAGGCACAAATCGATTAATTACGTGATTTGTCGAAGGTCCCAAAATGAATCAGACTGGCAGCCGGGAATGAAAGCCAATCTTCTGATTACGATAAATACCAGAAATATGCTCTCAAACAGCACTAAACAAAAGAACAGTAATTCTTACAAAATGATGCAATACCGGTTAAAGCTTAACCTTTTGCTAATTAAAATTATACCCCAAATAAGGCAGAACTGCTTGGTGTCTGCTTAGGTCCGCTGTATAGAGCTGCTCTCCACACTGCTAAGGTAGTTCATGGTCTTACTCTTCCCAGTTCCCGACAGCCAGGCCCCAAGGAGAGAGTGAAAGGAAAACCGTCAGTCACTCTAGAAGGCTCAGTTTCCACTGGGTCTTTTTGTTGATCTTTGGGGGTATAAAAAGCTCAGCATCTAGAAGAAAGGAAAGGAAAACTGTGACAGACACACTTTCTTGCTAGGGGAAGCTGAGGCAGTAACTGCGCTAAAACTAGGGACTGGACTTTGCAGCTACAAGATAACCATCAGTCGAGAGCTAAAGTTCCTGTTACCCTCGCAACCTCCAGTCAGAGCAAACACAGCCTGGAGGCCCTGCCCCAAGAACAGGGATTTCCACTTCAGGCACCTGAAGGGTAGAAGAAAAAAATGCCCACTGAGTGATTCAGAGTAGAAGAATGTTCTAGATTTCGAATGGGAGGGGATGTGGTGGTTACAAGGCCATATGTAATTATTAAATCTCATCAAACTGTACACCTAAGATCTGTACATTTCATTATCCACAAAATTTTCCTCAATTATAAGAGAAAAAAATGTGGTGGCATGTTATTTGGTAAACAGAGTTAATGAAGAGAAAATACTTTCATGATAAAAAAAATTCTACAAACACAATGATCAATAAAAATGTCCCTACTTTTAGAAAAAAGCAAATGGAGGAGAGGATGGATGGGGTAAAACTGTCACTATTAAATAAAACTCCCAGACCCTCTTTCTTTACTTTTTTTTAAAGATTTTGTTTTTGTTTCTTCTCCCAACATGGGGCTCAAACCCACAACCCCGAGATGAAGAGACACAGCTCCACCTGAGCCCTCTTTCAATCAGATTTGTGGTAGCAGAGATGTATATAGGTAGTAAAGACATGAGAAAATACGTGTATATAAAAATGTCTTTTTCTCAGCATTATTTGTAATACACTTCCAACAAAAGTATATCTATATATATGATCCATACACACACACACACACACACACACACACACACACACACGAGGCTTTTAGCAGGAAAGTAACTGTGTTGACAAACTGTATGCCAAGGCATGACATCCTTCACCTTCCCATGTCTGAATTTCACAGTATAAGAGTTATTTTTGCAAAAATACTTTGAAGGTCTTATCCACTTTTCCAAGGACTTTTCTTAATCTTTTGATAGCCAAAATCATTCCCATTTGAAGCATTTACTTTGTTATCAACTGTAACAAGCCCAACTCAGCTATGATGATTCAAGCACTTCTCTGATGATACTTTAATCCATTTTATGAAACCCTACATTTTTGCAAGACTTACAACTGATCTGCATGATACTGCATTGCAAACATGAAACAGAGAGAATGGCTATCAATCAAGTCATGGATTCCACTCGCAGGGCTGTGTGAGTATGCTTAACTACTCCCCTTACTTGGGGAGGAGCAGTTGAGGAATAGTGCTTGGGACGTTGTCAGTAGTTCATCTGCCTATTTTTAGATTATGAGAACCTCTCTTTTCCTACGCCATCTTGTAACCACAAGGACACTGGTAACACTTATGTACTCAGATAATGAGGAGCCTCAAAATACTGTCTTTAAGGCTCAGCTGGAAAATGAAAGTGCTCTTCAATAAAGCCACCAGGATACTCTAGGGAAAAATGTGACTAGACTTGACATGAAGGTCAGCATCAGGCCAATAGGGCAGAAAATGGGGCGGAAATCACAACAGAATTGCCCAGGGTACAAACTGAGCAATGACCAAGCTGCCGCAGGTCTAAATTGAATTTTTAGCATCTCAGAAATAAGTATATGTTGGGACCGATAGCAAAAGCAGCTTGTGAGCCTTCAGGAAGAAGGGTAGCTAGGAATACAATAGTTACTGTCCAGATACAAGAGCTAAACTGGATGGGAAGTAGTTCATTTATTCCTGGTAGCAACATAAGCTGTTAAACTTCAAACTTAATGTAAACCCAAAGGCTACTTCAAATGTCATCAGAATGCTAGTATAGCACAGCATTTAAGGGGGAAAAAATTCTGGAAAATGCAAATTACAGTAGTAAAGACTCCCAATTATTTTAGAACATACCACTAACTTTTGAAAGCTAAGAGGCTGCTATGCTTGATTGATCCACCTAAAGGGTAAATACTCAGGCACCAAACTGATCTATCAAAAGTTTCTAACCAAATTTAAAAAGAAAGTTTTTAGGGTTTTGAACTTTAAGGGCTACGCAATCTAATCAGGAATCATCTCCCCCACCAACAAACAAAAATTAAAACAAAATATTTTCAGTAAACTTAAATAGGAAATGCAAATAAAATGCAACATTCTTTGGATGTGCTTTCAAATTATACTGTCAATCCTGAGGATGATTATGAAAATGTCCCCAAGATGCAATCATAACTGCCAAGAGCCAAAAATGATGATTCAGAAGAATCCTTAAAATATATAGTAAGTTGGACTGTTTAGACTCAAACTCCAACTGTGATGTGCCTGTATGGACGGTGTATGTCAAGGTGACCTTTTCAAAATGTATACATCTAATGTCATGTTGGATTCCCCACCCCTCTGGTTCCCAACACTAGAAGCACTAAATCGATTTTATTAAAGACACAGTCATAAAATTGAGGGAAAACTGTAGTCAATACCTGATCTTTCCTCACACCGCTGACCTTCTCAACACTTAGAGAAAGATATTCCTTCTGCTGAGTACTGTGATAATTTGAAGAGAAAAAAATACTAACCAAGAACAGGAACTGAAGTCTTCTGGTGTTGATAAGAGGCCATGATACTATTTACAGTCGAACTGGGACCTAGAACCTAAGTAGAAAGTAGATCAGCAAAGATTACTTCATACTTCGGGTGACCGCAGATACCAGAGGCCAAGTTTCTACCAGCAGTAAATAGCATGTCATTTTCATGGTATCAAGCACAGTAATTCTCTTTTCCTTTGTGATTTTTACTTCGCCAGTTTTTCCAGTCTTGACTCAGACCTCCAAATCTCCTTTCTTCCAGAAGACAAGGTAATGATGAGGGGAAAACAAAAAAGGAAAATCTTAAGGAATATAAGCCATCCCCTGAGGGGAGGAGTACAAGAGGTTATAGAATACACAGAGCATCAATTTGCCCTCAAAAGATCTGTGGGAATTTTGATATTAAAACAAATACATGCATATATCATGGTGTAGAACGCAAACTGTGCACATGTGTTCAAGGTAAAACCAGAGCCTTCACAGGAATTCCACGTTTGTATAAGCCTCAGGGGGGACATGCCAGGCCCTCTGCTTTGTCTTCACTTGGCTCAGCATGCATACCCTCAGGGGCACCTTCTCAGCAGCAACGTGCGCTCAAAGCACTTCCATATGACTCGGGATCCAGCACACGTGCCATTACCATAATTTACCAACCAAAGCAAACACATGATTTTCTGGTCATTTTCCCCAGAAGACTCTTAAAGTTGGTGTCTCAGAAATTAATATGATCTTCAGCCATCAAAAAGAATGAAATCTTGCCATCTGCAATAACATGGGTAGAGCTAAAGTGTATTATGCTAAGGGAAATAAGTCAGAGAAAGACAAATACCGTACAATCTCACTCTTAACAGATAAACATATGGGAAGGTGGAAAAGAAAAAAAGGGAGAGGGGAAACAAGCCATGAGACTCTTATGACAGAGAACAAACTGAGGGTTGATGGAGGGAGGTAGGTGGGGGATGGGCTAGATGGGGGATGGGGATTAAAGAGGACACTTGTTGTTATGAGCACTGGGTAAATTATGTAAGTGACGAATCACTAAGTTCTACCCCAGAAAACAGATTAAGCAAAAATTAAATCAAAAAAATTAAAAATTAAAAAATATATAAAAAATTTTTTTTAAAAATTACTATGATCTGAATAGAAGAGGGTAGGGGAGAGCATGAGGAGGTATTATAACTTGCTAAGCTTCAAAACCACTACAGTTTTGAAGATGATCACATTTCTTCTAGGAAATACCTATTTTAGTAAATTCAAATATTTGTGGGGTGCTCATTCTCAACTTTTATTTTTAAGGTATGCTATATGTACCTACATCACTACCCTCTTATCTAACCTTCAGAACATTCCAGTGAAATGTACAGGGAAGTATATCCCCATTTGTAACTGAGGAAATCGAGGCCCCAGTAGAGCTGCTATGTTTCTAACCAGTGAGCTCAATACCAGTCTCTCTCCAGGCTCCAAACCCACCCTTCTCTACAGTGCTTGTGATGCTGGGACTGGGAGCCTGAGAAAAACTCCGCCTTTGTCAGCTGGCTCGTCGTTATGCAGACATCAGAGGAAGAGTGCAAGGCTGGAGGAAAAGGAATGTGCTCCTTCCTTTCACTCAACGGTTTTTTACCCTGGTAGCAGCCATTCATTCCAGTTTCCTTATTTCTCCACCCTTAGAGCTATCATGCCCCCTCAGAAGTCCCACCACCAGATGGCTGGCACCCCTTCTCAGAGGGTCAAGAACCAGCTCAGCAGGGCCCCACCTCCAAGCTTCTAAAATATAGTAAACCCAAACTCTTCCTTTGTTCCCTCATAGTTACTATCTCAGCGTTCCTTCTCTGTGTTCCCCTTTTACCTTTCAGTTCTCCAATACTTGTTCAACCAGTTCCCTGTATTAAATTCTGTTACAATAACAGCTGTGGTTGTTTTCCTTAATGGACTGTGCCTGACACACCAGCCTTTCTGAATCAAAACAGAAACTCTTTAACAATCGGCCTCAGATGTGAGAGACTGAGCAAAGTACACACAACAGATAACACATCAGAATTCTTGACAGGACACAACTGCCTTAAACATGAGCAGCAAAGCTCCTCCTAACAACAGAGTAGAAGTGACAAGTCAAATTTTCCATAAAACAAAAGAGAAAGCAATTGTCTACAAGGGTTTCTTTTTTTGTTGTTGTTAAAGATTTTATTTATTTTAGAGAGAGAGAGAGAGCATGCAAGCGGAGGGAGGGGCAGAGGGAGACGGAGATGGAGACAGAGAATCTCAAGCAGGCTCTGCTGAGCGCAGAGCCCGACGTAGGGCTCCATGCCACGACTCTGATATCATGACCTGAGCCGAAATCAAGAGTCAGATGCTTAACCAACTGAGCAACCCTGAGGCCTCTGTCTGGGTTACTTTAAAACACTCTGATACCATTCAACGTCTGAACAGGGAGGTGAGAGGCCAACTCTGGCCCTAGCTCCCCACTTGCCCACTCCAATCTCACTGAAGGCAGGGGCAACAGTCTGACTTGCCCATCTTCTTCACGACAGCTGTTTCATGCGGAAAGGAGAAATAAAAGCAAACTTAACCTAGTCCAAGGTATACTCAAATAGAAAATCTTCTTACAGACAGCTTAAACATAAGCCTAGGCTAATGTAACTATGGAATATTATGTTTTTAAGAAAAAGAAAATCTTTTGCTTTGACTTTTAAGAGTTCATGTGAACGTAAGAACCTGTGAAATGACTTTTAAAAAACGCACATTCTGTCTCTGAGGAAAACTTACAGGTGTAGCTGAATTCTGCTGGTGAGTGAGAGTCCAAATTTCTGGAAGTGACCTTTCCATCAGCTGGAGGGTATCTTCAAAGGCCTTCTGTAATTCCCTTCCTTGCTCATCAAACTCAAAGAGAAAGAGCACCTTTAAAATATGGTATACTTCCTCTAGAGAGAAGAAATTTGAGAAAGTGGTTAACTTGGGTGCCCAGCTCCATTGCTAGGATCATAACACAGTTTCTTTCCCAAGCAAAAAAATATTTAATATCACCCTACAGTTGCCATGTCCTGCATCTTCTTCTGTCTCCCCAAATGCTGGAGTAATTCAACCTATCTACTACAAAAAGAAAAAGGAACACCCTGGGGCCCAAGTAGGAAGCAGTGTCTTCATAATCCTTTTCCCTGGCTTTGATGCTAATGTCTCCCAGCAGGGCTGGGTGGGGGCCAGTGCAGGAAGGCTCCTAGGTTCCCAGCTGAGGGTGGTTCAGGAACGTGCCCTGAAATGACACTTCCTGCTGAAAGTTTCTGTCTTTCCTCAAGTTGGGAAAACTGTATCTTAATTATTTGCTAAACTCTGTGCTATCCATTTACTTTTTTTTTGTGGTAAGAATCATCAGTATTGAGAATATACCTTTCAATTTCTCAGTGCTCTGTACAACTTCACTGAGTGCCTCCAAAAGGGCCAGATCCTCCAGCGGACTCCCTTCTTTGAGGCTATGCTTCTTCCGCTCTGCTTTGCGGCGATTCTTAGATGATCGCCTGTTAGAAGACATTGGAAAGATGTTATAAAAGGGGATCTCTTTGCACTGAACAGATTAAAATGAATGTACCTGTTGGCCACAAACTTTCTGGGAACCCAGAGTCTACAGATGGTATGTATATGTGGGGGAAAATGGTAATGAGGTGCTGGGAGTGACAGCTAAAATAAATTGGGAAAGGCAAGAGTTACAGGCAGGAAATAATAAGGAAAACCCTAAGAAATAGTAGCTGGCCTTGAAATTTTAATTAAAATACAGAGTAAAATGAGGTTATATTTGATAATGACAGCTGGAACAACAGAACAACCAACTTAAATTTTATAATGAAAAACAAGTTTAAAGTAAAATTTAAATAAGGAGACACAGACATAGCACACTGAAATTTGGATATAACAAAATATATATGAATCCTGTATCTTTCCTGCTCAAAGGTCTTTAATTACGCCACCTGTCTTGTCCTAACTGTGAAAAGCCTAGTTTCTAGCTGCCTCTCTTGCAGTTTCTGATCACCCCATATAACCTCAGAAATCTCTATTCTGAATTCCTAAAGCATGATTCAGTTTATTATTTTTTTTTTTAAGATTTTATTTCTCAGAGAGAGCGAGCATGCACAGACACACACAAGTAGGGGGGACGGCAGGCAATGGGAGATGGAGAAGCAGGGAGCCCGATGCGGGGCTTGATCCCAGGACTCGGGGATCATGACCCAAGCTGAAGGCAGATGCTTAACCGACTGAGCCACCCAGGCATCCCGTCATGATTCAGTTTAAATACACAATCTTGCATTGTTTTATGCTTCCCAAGGATGACTATAGGCTCTTGTAACTCACATCTCCTTAAAAGTTTTTGGTAATATCCACTACAACTAGCATATGGGTGTTGGGACCAAATGCTACACTGTGTAAGCATGATGACTTGTTTTACGTTAATAGCCTCTTCTAATCCTGACTTTGAACTGAAGATGCCTGATACTTTTTTTATAATCTTTTAATTTTTTCAGCACCCATACAATCCAGTCACCTAATATTTGTTAAATGAATAAAATCAGATGTCATAAAAATTGAGTACCAGTGTAAGGGCCTCGTGGGCACAAACACACAGTCCATGAAGCTGCAGCAGAAAAACATTTCAACACCAAGTCTAATTTCTTAGATACGTGGGGAAAGCCCTTGCACACCAAATCCTGGCCTTGAGCTCTGTTCTCTCTCTCCCCTGCACTGTCCTGATGAGAAACTGACCCCCTTACTTGCACTTTCTCCATATGCCTAGGGCCTGGCCAATGTGCTGAATAAACATGATACATACGCTGATATCCTGGAGTTGCTATGGGAATATTTGTCGCTCATGACACTGCTAGTTTCAGAGAAGAGGTCTGACTCTTGACCCTGGGGCACCTCATCATCTAGAAAAGAAGAACCAGACACAGAATGAAAACTCCCTGCTGATGTAGGTTTACCTTCGGTAGGGTAAGTGGACTAGAGTTAACCAGGGCATATCTGACGATGGATGAAAGTTATTATAAAGTAGATCTCAAAGTGAAATGAGATAATATTAAATACAGTTATTCCTACCATACACCAGCGCACCAGTACCAAGCTTATTTTTTCTTTTCTCTCCTTTCTGAAAGCAAAGGAACCTTTGGAGGCAAGGAGGCTCATTTTGCTCTGCTTGGTGGGGGTGCAGGGAATGTGTGGCAGAGCTCTTCCCATTCATGCTTGGTCCTGCCCCTAGCCCTCCCCAACACGCACAAACACAGACATACACAGCCCCTAAGGGGTTTCACAGAGGCCTTAGATGTCCCCCAGCATGGTAATCACAGTGCAGGAGGCACAATAAGCAGCTAAGACAAAGTGTGATGTGTCCCCACCATGCCCAAGCGTCCATGTCTCCATGCAGACACTCACCCAGATTCACCTGCTGTGCCTGCTCCTTGAGCTCTCGAACCACCAATAAACGCTTTTTATGGCGACTGAATGTGGCTATCTGAGAGTCCAGAAGTGCCATATAATTCTTCTGGGCTGGAGGTGCAGATGGAAAATAATTCGAGCAAGATGTTTAAGTAAAGAGAAAAACTCGATAAAGGCAGTGAGGGAGTAAGAATTTAACAAAAAGAAACAGGTTACTAGGTTTTCCAAGCAAGATTTTTTTCCTTAATGAGAATTAACCTACATTGTTTTAAGAGAACGAACTACATGTTGAAATTTCAGATTTCAGAGTGCATTAACATCATCCTAGAACATTCTCTAGCACTAAATTAGTAACATCACCTGAACAAAGACTAGGTACCCAAGAGCAGACCAGCAAAGAAAAGGAGTATACAAGGAAGCTGTTAACAAAAACAGGACAGTCACTGAGATGCTTCTGAAACATAGGTATTAGGCCTATGCAGATGAACAGTCAGCATTTTTCTAGGTGCTCATTAGGGGAGAAAATCCAAGCAAGAGATGGCTAGATGGATGCTAGATGGTCAGGATGGATGTTTTTAGTAACCAGTTAAGGGTACCTAGGTGAATGATATGAAAAGAATCCTCCCATGGTGTTAATGAGGATGGGGGAGGGGGATGCAGGCAGGGTAAGCATGTGAGTACGTGTACACATCACAAAGGCCAGATCTTACTCACAGGGTAGACTGTGCTAAAAAAGGCAGAGCTTAAAACCAACCCCCCACTGCTGGAAATCTCTGTAAGCCAAACTGATATCCTTCTCTTCCACTTTGCTTTTAAGGAGTCATAGTTATCACCCAAGTGTTCCAGAACTGGTAAAACTCACCTGGTTCAATATAAAAATATACCCTCCACTTAGATTTACCAACTGTAAACATTTTGCTTCCTGTTTCTCTCCATACACACACACAACTATTATTTTGTGGAAGCTTTTGAGAGTAGGTTGCAGATATGATCCTTCCCTCTTAAATACTTCAGAACATCTCTCTTAAGAATAAGGACATAGGGGCGCCTGGGTGGCTCGGTCGTTGGGCATCTGCCTTTGGCTCAGGTCGTGGTCCCAGGGTCCTGGGATTGAGCCCCGCATCGGGGTCCCTGCTCTGAGGGAAGCTTGCTTCTTCCTCTCCCACTCCCCCTGCTTGTGTTCCCTCTCTCACCGTGTCTCTCTCTGTCAAATAAATAAATGAAATCTTAAAAAAAAAAAAAAGAGTAAGGACATTATTATGATCTCATGGGTTGTGGGATTGAGCTCCGTGTCAGGCTCTGCACTCAGCAGTGAGCCTGCTTAAGATTTTCTCCCTCTGCCCCTTTCCGGACTCTCTAATAAATAAATAAATCTTCAAAAAAAAAAAAAAAGAATAGGACATTATCTAACATAAGCACAATACAACTATTAAATGCAAGAAATCAGCCACTGACAAAATACTGTATTATCTAACACCTAGTTCATATTCAAGTTTACCAACTACTCCCAAATACAAAGACTTTTTTTTTTAAAAGATTTTATTTATTTGACACAGAGAGAGAGAGAGAGAGTGCGCACAAGCATGGGGAGCAGGAGAGGGAGAAGCAAACTCCCCGCTGAGCTGGGAGCCCAATGCTAGGCTCAATCCCAGAACCCTGAGATCATGACCTGAGCCGAAGGCAGACACTTAACCAACTGAGCCACCCAGGCAGGCACCCCTACAAATATAAAGATTCTTAACCATATCTTATCACGTATTTTTAACATTCAAGTATTTTATATACTACCATTTGACAGTTTAGCATATTTAAAAAATCCTGGTCAGAATTAAGTATTACACTCAGTGAAGAACTCTGATCAACTCTATGTAACACATGATTCAAGGATGTAATAACAGGGAGTATTCTTCTCTCTCACTTCCCCACCTCTACACTTCCAAATGTAGAATTCTGAGATGTAACCCTTACCTTCTAAAATGGAAGGCTTTATGTTGGTTTCTATTATATCTGGTCTGTTATATTTGTATACCTAAAAGGAAAAAGACAGTAATTTTAGGCAAGAAAACTGCAAGTCACTGTAGAATTAAGACACTTGGAAGGAAATGGATGACTTTCAGAGGTCACCAGGTTATTTTCAAGAGGGGCAGGCCTCTACAAGCTAATGAACATTCAACTCATTTCAGTTAAAACCAGTAATATTTCACATTTACAAAACGGACTAATTCCAAACATCAAGAGTAAATTTTTTAAATGGTTTTAAAAATACTGCTTATCCTTAGGCCAGGAACCTAAACTATTTTGACTTGGTTTCGCTAGCCTCAGAAGACAAGGGATTCCCGTTGACCCTGTCCCCCCTGCACTCTCGCTCTGCTGAGCACCTAACACAGGCAGGATTTTAAAAGTTCTCCTACCAGTCTCAGAGCTTCTTCCCAGGCAGCTCCTTCTAATAATAAGAGCACAGCTTCTTCGTAATCCTGACAAGGAAACATCAAGGAAGATAACAGGTAAACAGAACAAGCGTGTCAGACGCCACCATGACCAACTGCAAGGCTGCCTCAGAGTGGCCTCTCCTCCCGCCTTTCCCTTACGGTCCCAGTCCCTAGAATCACGTCTGGCCTCCAGTCCCTGCTCAGTAAACAGTGATGCAGAAGACAATGGGTGCGGTGGGGGGAAGGTACACATTCTGGAAATAACCACAGAACACATGGCATCATCTCCCTGCGGCCCTGAGCATCGAAACCCCCAGAGAGGCCTGACAGAAATGCCAACCGCCTCAGGTACACCACCCAGTTCGATTCGACAGATTTAGGGGCTTTTAAACTTTTCTTTTTGCTCTTTAATGTTTTTTTTTTTCCCCTCCAACTTTTATTTTGAAACACTTCAAACCTACAGAAAACTGAGAGATGAGGGTAATAAACACCTGCATATCCTAAGTCTTCAAGCATTTTTGATATTTGTAGTCTTACCAGTAAAAATGTTTGAGCATGTACCGCAGTATGTAATTACTTAATGTACTCATAAAGCATATAAAACAAAGCATTTTTATAGGTCCATTTCGTGTTTATCTCTTAATACTCAAGTACAGTTGACATACAATGTTATTAAATCAGCTTCAGGCTTACAACACAGTGATCGGACAGCTCCGTACATTACTCAGTGCTCCCCACGGTGAGTACAGTCCTGAGAATCTGTCATCACACAACATGATTCCAGAATTACTGACCATTTTTTTTTACTGTCTAGTCCAGTGGCTGTACTTTTCATTTCCATGACTTATTTATTTTATAACTAGAAGTTTGTGAAACTGGAAATAAGTGAAAAAAAACACTTTTTTTTTTTTAAAGGGGAGGCAGAGAGCTGAAACCAAGAGTCGACACTTAACCGACTGTGCCAGGCGCCCCTGTATTTCACCATTTTAAAATGTGTTTTGTGGGGCACCTGGGTGGCTCAGTCAGTTAAACGTCTGAGTTTTGTTTCGGCTCAGGTCATGATCTCAGGGTCATGAGATCGAGCCCCATGTCAGGCTCTGCGCTCAGTGCGGAGTCTGCTTAAGATTCTCTCTTTCTTTCCCTCTCCCTCCCTACCTCCTTGCTACTCTCTCTCCCTCCCTCTCAAATAAATAAATAAATCTTTAAAAAGAAAAAGGTGAGATACATAAAACAACTGGCTGCGTTTCATCGAGTAGTCACGGTGATAAAAAGAAGGGGGGATAGGCATGCATTAGATTAAGAGAGATTTAAGAGACATAAGATACAAAATGCAACACATGACCCTAGACTGGAACCTATTTTGGATCAACCTACTGTAAACAATTCTGGAACCACTGAGGGAACTTGAATTTTAATTATTACATAAATTAAAATGTATTAACATGAAAAGACAAAGATCATAAACAAATAAAGCAAATTTAAAAACAGCACAGTGTAATTTCATTTGGGTTAAAAATGCATGCATGTGTGTGTGTGTGTGTGTGTGTGTGTGTGTGTGTGTACAGAGAAAGAGCACCGTATGAAGAATTAGAAATAGAAGGGAATAGTAGCAAACTCTTGAGTGGTAGGAATGACATGCTTTATTTTCTTGTTAATTACTTTCAGCATTTTAAATAATCTACAATACATACATACTACTTTAAGTTACTTTTAATTAAAAATATTAAATAAAAGTAAGCATTTTCTTCCCAGACCCCAGTGCATATGCCCCACTAACAGGCCCATACCACAGGTCCATGAAGGTACATAGGTATGTGCTGTTTGACCCGCAGAGAAAGAAAGGGGAGGGGGGTGTTTTACCAAGGTGACAATCACATGACATACAAGCACTCTGAAGTGTACAATTTGTGGCATTTTCTGTGTTCACAAACCTTTTTTAAAATCACCTGATAAAACACTCCCATTTCTCCACTCCCTTCCTCCTCTGGTGACCTCTGATATACCCCTTCTCTGGGTTTGCCTACTCAGGACATATCATACAACAGAAACCATACAATAGGTGACCTTTTGTGTCTGGCTTCTTTCACTAAGCATAATGTCTTCAAGATTTATCCAAGTTGTAGCATGTATCAGTTCTTTGTTCCATTTTTTTAAATTAATTTTTTCGATTATAGTAAAATGCACATAACATAAAATTTACCATTTTAACCATTTTTTTTTACTGTCTAGTCCAGTGGCATTAAGTAAATTCACACTGTCGTGAAACCATCACCACCATCCGTCTCCAGAACATTTTCCACCTTACAAAACTGAAACTCTATACCCGTAAAACAATAAGTTCTCATGTTCCTCTCCTTCAGCCTCTGGCAACCACCATTCTACTTCCTGTCTCTATGATTCTAACCACTCTAGGTACCTCATATAAGTAGAATCCTACCATACTAGTCCTTTTATATCTGGTTTATTTCACTTTTACATCAACATGGATGGGACTGGAGGAGATTATGCTAAGTGAAATAAGTCAAGCAGAGAAAGTCAATTATATGGTTTCACTTATTTGTGGAACATAAAGAATAGCATGGAGGACATTAGGACAAGGAAGGGAAAAATGGAGGGGCAGAATTGGAGGTAGAGATGAACCATGAGAGACTATGGACTCTGAGAAACAAACAGGGGTTTAGAGGGGACGGGGGAGGGGGGATTGGTTAGCCCGGTGATGGGTATTAAGGAGGGCACGTACTGCATGGAGCACTGGGTGTTATATGAAAACAATGGATCGTGGATCACCACATCAAAAACCAATGATGTATTGTATGGTGACTAACATAACATAATAAAATTAAAAAAAAAAAAACATTGAAGCATCCATCTGTTTTACATTCCTTTTTATGACTGAATAATATTCTTCTGTGTGTGTACAAATGCTGTGTGTGTGTGTCTGTATCTGACGATTTATCCATTCATCTCTCATTGATGGACATCTGTGTTGGTTCTTCCTTTTGGTTATCATAAATAATGCTGTTATAAACATTTGCATACAGGTTTCTTTGCGGACATGTTTCCATTTCTCCTGAGTAGATACTTAGGAGTGGAACTGTTGGGTAATATGTTTACATTGAATTTTTTTTTTAAGATCTTATTTATTCATTTGAGATAGAGCGAGCACAAGCAGGGAGAAAGGCAGAGGGAGAGGGAGAAGCAGGCTTCCTGCTCAGCAGGGAGCCCGATGCGGGGCTCCATCCCAGGACCCTGGGATCATGACCTGAGCCGAAGTCAGATGCTTAACTGACTGAGCCACCCAGGCACCCCATATGTTGGACTTTTTAAGGAACCATCAAACTGTTTCCCATAGGGGCTGTGCCATTTTACATTCACAGCAGCAATGTACGAGGGTTCTTATTTCTCCACATCCTTGCCAATTTTTCATTTTTTTTTTTATTAAAGCTATTCTAGTGGGTACTGTGGTTTTGATTTGCATTTCTTTAATGAACAATGAAGCTAAACAACTTTTCATGTGCTTGTTGGCCATTTTTATGTTTTCTTTTTTTTTTTTTAAGATTTTTTATCTATTTATTTGACAGAGAGCACAAGCAGGGGGAGTGGTAGGCAGAGGCAGAGGGAGAAGCAGGCTCTCCGTTGAGCAGGGAGGCCAATGTGGGGCTTGATCCCAGGACCCTGGGATCATGGCCTGAGCCAAAGGCCGACGCTTAACCAACTGAGCCACCCAGGCGCCCCCATTTGTATGTTTTCTTGAGAGAAATAGCTATTCAAGTCTTTTGGCCATTTTAAAAATGGGTTGTTTTGTCTTTTTGTTGCTAAGTTGTAAAATTTCTTCACATATTCTGGATATAACAAGAAAACTATAAACCAGTATCGCTCATGGACAAATACAAAAATCCTCAAGAAAATTTTAGCAAACTGAATCCACCAATAATGAAAAAGGGTAATACATTATGACCAAGATGGGTTTAACCTAAGGAATGCAAGATTGGTTTAACATTCAAAGATCAATGTAATTCATCCTAGCACTGGTCTAAAACAGAATACCTTAGTTGAAAATGCATTTGACAAAATCCAATACCTCTTCATGATAAAAACTCTGAGAACCAAGAATAGAAAGGAATTTCCTCAACCCAAGAGGGCAAGGATTGGCAATTTTTTTCTGTAAAAGGCTAGATAGCAAATATTTTAGGTTTTGTGGTCAGACCATCTCTGTCACAACTCCTCAACTCTGAGGTTGTAGGTACAAAAACAACCACAGAATATATGTAAACAAATAGGTGTGGCTATGTTCCAGTAAAACTTTCTACAGATGGCCAGCTAGATTTGGCCCATAGACTATAGTTTCCCAACTCTAATGGCCCTACCAGGTTCTCACATCTATTAAAAAAAACAATAGCATGGGGCACTGGGTGGCTCAGTCAGTTAAGTGTCTGCCTTCAGCTCAGGTCATGATCCCAGGGTCCTGGGATCGAGCCCCACATCTGGCTCCCTGCTGAGCAAGAAGCCTACTTCTCCCTCTCCCCCGTGCGCATGCTCTCTCTATCTCTCTCTCTCTCTCAAATAAATAAAATCTTAAAAAAAAAAAAAAAAAGCAAACATCACACTTAATGGTGGAAGAGTGAATTTCCACCCTAATATCAGGAAAAAGACAAGGATGTCCACCAACCCTTACCATTTCTGTTCAACATTATATTGGAAAGTCCTAGCTAATACAGTAAGACTACAAAAAAATATAAAGGCATACCAATTGAAAAGATATAAAACAGTCTTTAGTCACAGAAGCCATGCTCATTAATATAGAAAATCCTAGAGAATTTACCCCCAACACTCCTAGAACTACTAAATAAGTTCACAGCAAGGTTGTAGGATATAAGGCCAACATACGAACAAAACTGTATTTCTACTTACTAGCAATGAAAAATTGGAAGTGAAAAACAAAAAAATACTAGTCAAGTCTTAACATGACCCCAGCTCTGACCAACACCTTGGCTGCAGTCCTGTGAACGACCCTGAGCCAGAGACCCTAACTAAGCCCTGCCCAGATTCTTGACCCACAGAAACAAATAGGTGTTTTTCATTTGAAGCTAAGTTTTGAGGTAATTTGTTATGTATCTGTAGATAAGTAATTCATCCAGTGTACATGAGTACAGGAGCAAAAGAGGTACTCACACATCACTGGTGGGAACACAAAACGATAGAGCCGCCGCCTCCTTATTAAGTTACGCATCCCACTTACCACGTGACCAGCATTCCCACTCACAGGTATCTATCCAAGTGAAATGCAAGGATCTGTCCTCACAAAGACGTACTGAACCAGTTTATAGCTGCTTTATTCTAACCTTAAACTGAAAACAATCCAAATGTACATCAACTTGTGGACAGATCCACAAATCGTGACCTATTCATCAAACAAAATGCCACTGAGCAAAATAAAAAGGAATACAAAGATACACAATATGACATGGATGAATCGCAAAAGCATTATATGACTTCCAGTTTCCAGTCCAACACGCAAGGAACTTGGAAGACATCCCTCCATTGTAACAAGTAGAAAGCTGAGCAGACTCTCCTTTGATCCACTGGAGAACTGAGGTCATAGGGCAAAATGTTGCCCCCAAGACTGGAGAGACAGACAGGCAGACACAGAGAGCTACAACTTACCAGAACAGGGCAGAGACCCACAAGTAGAGATCTCTACCAGAACCAGTACTGGGGTAGGAAAATCTAAACTGTAAGTGACCAGTGGCTGAAGGATCACTGTGGACAAGGTTAGAGCTGAAAACTCTACAGACGTCCAGACTTAGGGAGCTCCTACACTTTTGTGAGTTTTTACCTCCTTGAGCCCTACCAGGTTCTCACAGTATCAGATGAAAATCTGCTTAGGACAAGAAGGGAAAAGTTGTCATTTTGAAAATGCCCAGAGCATGCTGCTCTTAACAAGGCCTGCAGTCAAGAGAAACAATTTTGCCAACGCCTAACTAAACTTGGTTTGACCAGGGCCTAATTAATGTGAGGGAAGAGAAATACCCAACTCCAGCTCCCCTGGCCTTCCTGTCCTACCTAAGAAGTGAAAAATCTGAGACGCACTGGTGAAATTCAAGGTCCAGGGACACAGGCTCACTAAAAGACTGAGACTTAATCATATGCCTGTAGAACGCTTCTCCTCTCCCCACACCTTATCACCACATCACTAAAGACCTCTTTATAGAATTTCCTTACACCCCATACTTCATGGTAGGCTTCCAACAAAAATTTGCACAAAGGACAAAAACCATTTGAAGAGCCAGAGCAAGCAACAGAATAAGACTTAGACGTGGCAGGGATATTGAAATTACAAGGCCAGGAATTTAAAATCAGTATGATTACACCTGAAACTAATATGCCACTGTGTGTGAATTTTATTCCATTTAGAAAAAGAAAAAAAAGAGGTACGATTAATGTGCTGAATGCTCTAATGGAAACAGCAGACAACATGCGGGAACAGATGGGTAATGCAAGCAGAGAGATGAAAATTCTAAGAAAAAATTTTTAAAAAAATGTTAGAAAACAAAAGCATTATGTGAGTGAAAGAAGCCAGACTAAAAAACCACATACCAGATGGTTCCATTGATATAAAATTCTAGAAAAAGCAAAACTTAATGACAAAAAGCACATCAGTGTTTGGTAAGAGCTGAGAGTAGAGGGAGAAGGCTCACTGCAAAAGGGGAAGCAGGAAACTTTTTGGGGTGTTACAAATGTTCTATTACCATGGTTGTAGTAGTGTGACATGGCCAGGAGCATTTGTCAAAACTCATCCAACTGTTAATTTAAAATTGGTAGATTTTATTATATGTAATGTATACCCAATTAAAGATATACAAATTATAAATATATAAATTAAACATATATATATGAATTAATCTTCATTTATACAGAGAAAAAAGATGGTAGCATCTGATCCATTTAATTAACCATCTTAGATGATGTATCTTTCTACTCTAGCCTTGTTATTATGCATATTTTATTCATTGATGTTTTCAGCTCAATCACCCAACGTAATTTCTTGCTAGGATCTGTCAAATTTTAGTGATCTTCTTTCACTCACCCTTATTACATGAAAGACATGCAGGTAATTTAAAAGCACAATTATGTTATACAAATGTGCCTACTAGTAACAACTGTAAAAAACACTCTCTCATCAAAGGCTAAAACTCTACAAGGCAGTAATCCCTGGTGTCAACTATGTCCTATTAGTCCATGGCCAGTGTCAGTGCATAGTTTTTGTTGTTGTTTTGTTTTTTAATTTTTAAGATTTATTTATTTTAGAGGGAAAGCAAGTGGGGAAGGGGCAGAGAGAGAGAGAGAATCTCAGGCAGACTCCCCACTGAGCCCAGAGCCTGACGCAGGGCTCAAATTCACGACCTTGAGATCATGATCTGAGACAAAATCAAGAGTTGGACACCCATGGCGCCCCATGTCAGTGCATAGTTTTATTATTTTCATAACAAATTCAACAATCGCATCAAAAGCTGGTAAAGGTACTCATCTTCATAATCTGCTGGAAAATTGGAACCCATCATACTGCCTGAGATAAAAGACACTTCCAACAGTAAGAATGGTTGTAAAAGCCAGAAAAGTATCTGAAGTTCAATCCCTTTGTTTTAGAATGGTCCTTTCTCACTGTTTCTACTTGGCAAGTTAACATAAAAAGCACAACTCCCCTGAGATTTAATTTAGTACCTTCTACCAAGGTCAAACCACTAATGCCTATTGTGGTAGAGTTCTACCTTACAGAACGTATTGTTTAGAGAACTAATTTTTTAGAAGTAAGTTAAATTTAGATTTCTAAGTCAGGTCAGCAAGAGGGAAGATCTGCAGAGCAAATACTGTCTCTGGACTTCCTAATTACCCCAAGTTCCTTTAATTTTCATGATTGGTGAGGTACAACCGGGAAGACCTTCCTTGTTGACTGAGTGGCTGAAGGGAGGAAATGAGGTTACCTGGGCATACTGTTCCAAGACTGTGGCTGCATCACTGTGCTTCCTCTGCTCAACCAGCTTTCCTGCAAAGATAATAAACACTTGACCATAGTTGGCTTGCTAAGAACAGGATCACCAAAACTCAAGTTGAAATGGTATTTGGAGGTACTTTTTTTTTTTTTTTTAAGATTTATTTATTTATTTGAGAGAAAGAGCAAGCATGCATGTGGGCACACAAGTGGCAGGGGCAAAGAGAGGGGAGAGAATCTCAAGCTGACCCCACACTGAGCACAGAGCCTAACACTCAGCTCTAACTCACAACCCTGAGACCACAACCCAAGCCCAAACCAAGAGTCAGACGCCCAACCAACTACACCACCCAGGCACCCCCGGAGGTACTTTTTAAATAAAAACAGTCCCCTACAAATTGGAGACTAAGCTCTACTGTATACGTTCAAATAGAACAGCTTTAAAACAGCATTTTCCAAAGTGTTCCCTAAGACTGTAGGATAATAAAAGGCAATACCAAAAAACCATTCTTGGGTCAAGTAAGTTTGTGAAACATTGGGCATAACAACACTCAACAGATTCCTTTGCTGATATGCTCATTAATATATCTTTATTATGTATCAAACTCTATACTTTGTGAATTTCTGTCAGGAAATAGGCAGGAATACCAGAGTCCTATCTCAAATGGCAGTTACAATCTAAATTTAGCATAGAATGTGAAATCCATGTAGAGCCAAAATTAGCCATGAAAAAAAGCTTACAAAGGCACACATATGGGCAAATGACCTAGCATCTCCAGCTCATCCATTTCTTCCTCAAATAGGAAGAGACTGCTGTTCTTTGGTTGAGCACTAAGATGAAGGTAGTCGGCTTACGGGTCATGCAGTGTCTTTAGATGCTCGAATGACTCAGCAGTGGAGATAATCATGCTTTGAGAGGCACACAGGACCTGAAGTCGACTACGGGGCTGGCAGACTCATGTCTCCCATCTCATGCAAACTCCAGCGCATATGATCCCTGACAAAAGCAGGTATAATCATCTCCATAATTTCAACAGCTATCTTTCTCTTCTTGTATAAACTGCCTAAGTTAAAGTGCACATGAAGTGACTCTGCCTTATAACTTTTCTCAACAATCTCTGACCACCACCTTCCCTACCATTTTTGCTAAACATTGGGGAGAACTGGCTGTATACCATACAGCATGACAAACAGCAAGCTAAGAGTTATAAAGAACGTAAGAGAAGATAATAGGCCCTAAGAACAGAGCTGGAAGGTATGAACTACCAAAACATAAGTTTCTAGGGTACCTGGGTGGCTCAGTTGGTTAAGCGACTGCCTTCGGCTCAGGTCATGATCCTGGAGTCCTGGGATCGAGTCCCGCATTGGGCTCCCTGCTTGGCAGGGAGTCTGCTTCTCCCTCTGACCCTCCTCCCTCTCATGCTCTCTGTCTCTCATTCTCTCTCTCTCAAATAAATAAAATCTTTAAAAAACAAAAAAAACCATAAGTTTCTAAAGCAGAAATAACAATGGAGCCAGAATAAATAACTAAAAGACCTAATATAGGGAATTCTCAAAAACTAAAGAGTTCACCATGGAAATGAAGAGGCCTTGTAGAAGAGCCTACAGACCTAATAACCAGAAATGCCAGAAAAAGAAAAGTGATAACCTCACACATTTTTATGACCCAGAGAAAAAGGAAGAATGCAAATAGCTAAGGGGGACACATACATACATTTAACAGGATTTAATTTGGGATTTTTTCAGAACCGCATTTTCTTTGAAATCAAACAATATTTTTAAAACTCTTAAAACAGCAAGGGGGGTGGGTGCCTGGGTGGCTCAGTTGGTTAAGTGACTGCCTTCGGCTCAGGTCATGTTCCTGGAGTCCCCGGATCGAGTCCCGCATCGGGTTCCCTGCTCGGCAGGGAGTCTGCTTCTCCCTCTGACCCTCCCCCTTCTCACGCTCTCTCTCAAATAAATAAATAAAATCTTTAAAAAAAAAAAAAAAAAACAGCAAGGGGAGAACATACAAGCACCGCTGAGAGGGCAGGGCGCCTATTCACCTCTTCTCCCAGGCCGTCCTTTAGCTCTCCTCCCTCTAAGGAGTCAGACTCTGATATAGGCTTGCCTCCGGTTCAGACGATCCCTAGACCGTGACACAGCTGAACTGCCTTTGCTCTCAGAATGCGTACATGTTTGGTTTTTTCTTTCACCTCATTTCTCATAAATGCTATTACGGTTCCCAACGATCTATTGTCTATACCTGAATGGCCCCACTCCAAAACTCATGTTTACCTTCTGACAGGGCACATGGCCGCACAGCTACTCTGCACTAGGATGTAAGTTTTGGCAAATGAGATGGAACACAAGGAACAGTGTAACTTCAAGGTCGCTTCCAACTTCAAGTGTTCTCCTACGGCTCTAGTTTTTTCCCCTTCCTAAGGCCTGGAATATGGGTATGGAGAAAATCCAGCTACAACCATCTGCCTGGGATGACAGAGCCACACAACAGAAGGACTTCTCAGTCCTTACGTGAGAGATACAAGCTTTCTTTATCATGCCACCGTATTTGGGGACTCTCACTGTAGCAGTTTAACCTTTACTTAAATAAACCATTCTAAATTATCTAATTAATTTTTATTAGTGAATATGAGACAGTCTCAAGGTATGCTGTCCTAAATTTACTTGCAAAATTGCCAAAGAAAGGAAGAAACAAAAAAACCTCTGGGAGAGTCCTCCCTTTAGAGGACCTAAACCACCACCCACGCTCACCTGCCAGAGTTCTGCCGAGGCCAGCCAGCTGGTCTTTGGTCAGGTCCAGCTGGGCCGCCGTGCAGACAGCTTGCCGCCAGCTACCACTAGCCAGAAAGGCATCGAGCGCTTTCTCGTGGGCGCCACAGCGGGCCAACACAAGCCCGGCTGGCTCGAAGAGGCGCTCCCGTGTCAGGTGCTCCCCGTAAGCAATGCTGATATCCTGTGGCAAGAGGAGACGGAGGCTTGGTGAGGAAGGCAACAGTCATTTCTTAACCTCCGGTGTAGGCTATCTCAGCCACTACGTTTGAAAGTCTCTTGAATTACTCAGAAATATCCCGTGGTTAATCAGTGAACTCATTCTTCCACTCAAAACCTTACTGAGGATGTGCCGTGTATTGACACAGCAGATCATTACTGAGTACTCTTAAGGGCAGTGGGACTCACATAGCGATGCAGAAAATAAAAACAGGCAAAATCCCAAACAATAACAAGAACCACCACCAAGTTCCTGCTCTTGTGGCGACAGGCTTACAAACACAGGAAGGCCTGTGACGTCGTGATAAAAGGAGAGCGACGGGAGTGCTATTTCAGAAGGCTGTGAGGAGAACCACCCATGTGAAGGGTTATGGCACAGAAATCCAGGCCGAGAGCTACAGAGAGCACCGTGGCCATCTGGCAGAAATGTGTACGGAATACACAGGACGAAATAACAAGAAGGCTGGTGTGAGTGGAGAAGAGAGCGAGCCCGGGAGAGAGGAAGAGGCCGTGAAAATGAGTGCAAAGAGGCAGCCATTGGCCAAATTCTCTATCCGCAGGCTCAACATCAGGCAGGGACACAGAGCGGAACACAAGACACAGCCCCTGCCCTTAAGCGGCCCGCGGCCGGCAGGGAAAACAAATCAGTGCGGTGGCAGGTGGTTACGTGCCGTCACTGAGGTGAGAAGGGGGATCTGGGAGCTCAGGGTGGCACCTCGCCCAGGAACAGCTTTCCGGCAGAGGAGACCAAGAGTTAAAAGAGAAGTGGGCCTAAAGGTAGGGGCAAGGAGAGGCCTGGAAGAGGCAGCCGATGCTAAGGGAGCAGGCGGGGGCCAGAGCAGAGCCGCGGGCGAACTGCAGAGGGCAAACTGCAGAGGGCAGGGAGGGTGGCGGGGATGAGTAGTGGTTACGGGCCCAGGCTCCGGGGTCAGACAGCCTGGGCTCCACATCCCAGGCCGGCGCTTCACACTCCAGTGTCTGAGGCAAGTTGTTTCCTCATCTGTTTACCCAATCAGGTTGTCATGAGAATCACAGAATACATTTAGCAGATATCTGGCATGTAAGAAGAACTAAAGAGATGTCTGTTTAAACAAACAACTGAACTGCATCCCTTTCTTCTGAACTACACGAGAAAGATCTACATGCTTCAGGACGATCAGTCATGCGACAGCAAGGCTGGGATGGAGCAAGGGGTGGACAGAAGCCGGGAACCCCAGGGAGAAGCTGCCATGGTATTCATGATGAGGAATGGGGGACAACTCCTAGCTTTCCAGCCTGGGCACTTTCTTCAGAACAATAGCAGGTCAGGGCCATTCTCCCAGATAAGAGCTCAGGACGAGGTGACTGCATTTGAAGATAAACCTTGAGGCCAAGAATGGCATTATGGACTCGGGATCCTTCCCCCTGCCAGCTAACGCACAAAGTCAGAAGAGCCTCATTTCGCACACCACTCACCTTGTACTGCGGCGAGTCTGACGGATATAACTTCAGAGCTTCCTTATACAAGTTTTTATCTTTTACTAAGTTTAAGCATTCTGGGAAGTATTCGGGTCCTGAGGAATAAGATTCATACACACACAAGTTTAAGACTTTGGAAGCGTAATGAATTTCACTTGTACCAGTGGTCCCTACACAAAATCAACAAGGGACCTTTGTAAGACCTGCAGAATCAGAGTATCAGGAGTAACAGAATCCAGGAATTCTAATTTTAGCAAAGCACCCCAGCATATGTGAGGTATGAGAAACACAGGCTGAGATCAGAGTTCCATGTAAAAGGATGCTTTATACACTAGCCCTGATAAAGGACTCTCCAACCTTCTGTCTGCTCAGCCTCCTTCATTAGAATCAGCTGGGGAGCTTATCACCTGTGCAGATACCAGAGCCCCAGCCCAGCCCAGCTCAATCAGATTCTCCAAAGCAGCTTACTAACACCCAGGTAACTTCTTATCCCCATCCTAGCTCTCTGGAGAGAACTGCACCTGCTAAAGCCAGAAACTCCAGCAGGGGACAGGGACGGGGTGAAGCAGAACAACGTGAACCGTGCTTGTCCTAGTCCGTCGCTACCATGTACACCTGTGTCCTTCTGGGAACTGTCGGTGCGCATGGCCGCTCCCTCCAGACAAGCTACATTTCCCTCGGGTGTTGGCAAACACCAGGGGAGAAGAGTGCATTATCAAACAATTTTCATTCTGAGATACTGAAATGAATTTACGAGGTGATTATTCTTAACCCAAAAAGGATCTGCTCTATTTTTTTAAGTTAGGGAGCTCCTCCAATTCATTAAAAGCCATTTGCTTTGCCTTCAGCTTTTCAGATCATATGATAAAAGAAGGTGCACATACATAACTGTTAAAATTTCCAGGAGTGGAAACTGAAATCAGTCTATATCTAAACTAACACTTTAATTTACCCTGCCTAGTTCCAAAGAAGACCTGAAGCAGAAATAAACATACTAATCCTCACACTTACCACATTTGCTGAGGTGGCCAATGGCTTTTTCATATCGTTTCAGGTATTTGTCTATGGTGAACCGCTGATAATTGGTTTCCATTTTCTTAAGTGTATTAAGAAATGGAAGATATTCTTTGGGATCCTAAAAAAAACCAAAAAACAAAAAACACCAATAGGAGATCTTTATTGCTTATGATTACATTTATTTATAACAATACAAATAACAATTACAACAATCAATAAACCCAAAGCTACATAATGTTTAAAATACATACTATATTAGTGTATTATACATATTGTATAACTATATAAAATGAAACAACATATAACCAGTTGGGTGAAATTGCTTTAACGTATAGGTGAGGTGTTGTTTTGAGAATAATGATGACGATCTCCTATGCAATTTCACAAGAGCCACTTATTTCAGAGGCTAATAAGGAAAACAAGGTCAATCTAGAAGATACTCAACAAATGCATCCAAGTTTCTCCAGAAGTGCATCACATGCCCTCCCTCTGCCAGTTTTTTTTCCCAAAAGATTTCTTTAGAGAGAAAGAGAGAACATGCATGCTCCCATGTACGTGCAAGGGGGAGGGAGAGAGAATCCCAAGCAGACTCTGTGCTGAGCGTGGAGCTGGATGTGGGACTCGATCCCAGGACCCTGAGATCATGACCTGAGCTGGAATCAAGAGTCGGATATTTAACTGACTGAGCCACCCCGGGATCCCACCCTCCAGCAAGTTTTAAAACAAAGGTAAAATTGTACTGAGTTAAAGACAAAACTCTAAGACCCTGCCAACTAAGATTTTATTAGCACTAATTGTCTGCAGCTCTGTGCCATGCCCCGGAAATTGTTTTCTTTCTAAAGAACAGATGCTCCCTGTTCTTAATACAGTTTCACTGAGCAGACAGGATAAATACACATAAGAACAATCTAGAAAAAAAAGAAAGCCCAAAGGAAAAAATAATTAAATACTCAAGCATGTAATATAGAGAACTACAGGCCAAAGTGTTCAATCAACAAACATTTAGTAAGAATTTGCTCTGTATAAAAAATACAACCAAGCCCTACCCCCAGAAGACCTACCACCTAGAAGAGGAGCTAGAATGATATGCAGGGATAGGCACTGGGTGCAGTGGAAGCACTATGTGGCCCACCTCATCCAGTCCCCACGTGGCGGGCAGGGAGGCAAGAATGGAGCACTGGCAAGAGGCTACCTTGGCCTCCTTTGCCTTAGACGAGTGATAATCAGCTTGGCGAATGGAGAGGTGGAGAGTGGTGAAGGGAAGCAGAAGTAGCGCTACCTGCAGAGGGGGTGAGGGGGTGTGGCGGCTGGCGGGGGGCGGGGTACAAAACCACTACAGGCTGAGCAAAAGGAACAATATCAAGAGACAAGCACAGACAGATACACAGAGACCACATCCTGGGGGCAGGGGCTTAAGCAATATGATGGCTTCTGAACTTTATTCTAGGGGCAATGGAGAGCCCATGAAGGATTTTAAGTAAAAGAATGAAGGATCAAAATTTTGTTTTTGGAAAGATCACTCTGGCAAGAGCAAGGAAAGGGATGACAGGATGAAACTAAGGCTGCAGAAACTAGACCAGATCAGTCTAGCCCAAACTTTCCAACTGCAGCATGCTAAGGTGGGACGAGAGGCCCCAAGCCTTCCTATTCTCCGTGTTCCCACTTTGCAGCCCCATAACAAGGAACTGGACGGGAATCTGAATCATTTGCTCTATTTCCTTTACAAGAGGAGAGTTCATTCACACATATGCCCATAATCTTACAAATAACCAAGTAACTTGATTTCACTTGTTCCACCTGGCATTCCAAACACTTTGATCAGCCCTGAACTCTGACAGAGATGGGGCTTAGAGGCAGGCGTCCGGGAAACGCCCAGCCCTGCCCCCAGGCCTGTACTCACTATATTCATGTCAGCAAGACCCAGCGCTGCTGGGGACAGGGTTTCATACTGCCATGACTGCAGAAGCAAGACCCGAAAGGCCATTAAGTAGCGACTGCACCTACCTTCTGTGACTTCTCAGCTACCATGAGGACCAAATCAAAGTCATAGGTCCCGAGAGAATGATCATATAACTCATTAACATCTACCAGAAGCAGTAGATACTTCAGGGCCTCTTCAGCACTCACAGCATCAGGAACAGGTGGAGTACTGCCTGTCAGTGTGTAAGAAAACAAAACACAACAAAGCCGTTTGGGGAAAAAACCGACGTCTCTAGCAACACAACCAAAAAGACAAAGTAAGTGATTTTCTTGACAGAACTGGATGCCACAGGACTTCTTCTGTACGTGTTTTGTAGGGCAGTGCTCAAAAGAAAGGACACAGGTCTTAAAATGGCAACCCCAAAGCCCCACACTGGGTGATGGGGCACTGATCGTGGTCAGTGAGCTCCCCAGAAGCCTGGAGGGCTGGTGACACACTGTCTGTGAACGGGTCTCTACCTTGAAGCTCGTGTACCTTCTGCAGCACAATCTCCAGCTCTGGGGCTGTTTTCTTCACATGAGAGGTGAGTATGGACAGGCAGTACCTGCGGTGGTAAGTGGAGAAGCCCAGAATGAGAAGGACGAACAAGCGGAGTAAGGACAAGAGTACACTTCGGTGACTCAAGAGATGCCAACTAATGACAGCGCACATACTTGTGGGGGTTTATGCTCTCCATGGCTGCTCTCAGAGCGTCACAGACAAGGTCTACTTTTTTCCCATCAGGATCCTTGGACGGCTGGACAGTGCTAGTGCTGGTAACTGGTGGAGGATACATGGTCTTTGTAACATCCTCTTCCCTAAGAACAAGTTATTAAGAGGTCACTTACTGCTACCAAATGATGAACATATATCCAGGCAGGCGGAGGAGGGAATAAAAATGGCTTTTGGACAACAGATTCATCATATTCACATAAGGTGAAAAATGAGGAAACAAACTGAGAAATGAAAACATTTTCATATAAGACTCGTCCAGTGATGTTATACATGTTTTATTCATATTAGCCCCAAACTGGGTACAGACAGGTGTCCAACTCCAAGGGAACAAATAAACAAATTGTAGCATATCTGCACTAGGGCACACTACTGAGGGGTAAACATGAGGGAACTAGTGATACCAGTAAAGTATCTCAAGGTAATATGCTGAGTGAGAGCAGCCTAACTTACACAGAAGAGTAAATACTATATGCTTCCACTTCAAGTTCAACAGGCAAAACTCATCTATGGTAAAAAACTCACAACAGTGGTTGCCTAGGGAGTGGGGACAGGACTGACTGACATGAGGTTTGGAGGAACTTTCTGAGGTGAAGGAAATGTTCTCTATCTCAATAGAGGTCTGGGTTACACATTGGTCAGAACTCACTGAATAGTGCACTTATGATTTATGCATTTCACCACATGTGAATCTGACCCACAGAGAATGCACTCTAGTCAGCATTCTACGAAGTGAAATACTGAGACATAAAGTGGACTGAAGGCTACAATTAACTTAAAATTTGCCTTAAAAAAGACGAATGGAGGGGCGCCTAGGTGCTCAGATGGTTAAGCGTCTGCCTTAGGCTCAGGTCATGATCCTGGGGTCCTGGGATCGAGCCCCACATCTGGCTCCTGGCTCAGCGGGGAGCCTGCTTCTCCCTCTCCCTCTGCCTCTGCCTCTCCCCCTGCTCATACTCTCTCTCTCTGTATCTCTGTCTCTAACGAATAAATAAAATCTTAAAAAAAAAAAGATGAATGATGGATGGATAGATGGTACATCGTGACAAAGCAAATATAGGAAAATACATACTAGAGAGTCTAGATGGTGGTACAGGATGCTAACTGGACAGCTTTTCTTATATGTTTAAAATGTTTTCTTAAGTTGGAAAAAAGTCATTGCAGAAAAACATACCATTTGATTTCAATTTCCTAAGACAAATAGTCTTATATATACACTTAGAAATAGTCAATTATAATTCTAAATGACATGTTTTCAAGTCTTAGTTTTAAATAGGCTGTTTTTAAAAAGAAGAGAGAAGGGCAAAAATCTATTACAGGTGGCATCTGAGAATTATAGTGATTAAAAAAATACCAAACACAAAGTTAATTCTTCTCCTTTAGCTATTTATCTGTTTGATTTCCTAAACTAGATAAATTATGGATATGATACTCAGGAATTATTCAAAATACTTACTTCAATTCTGTGAAAAACAAATTAATATGATTTACAGAATCTATCTGTCTTACGAAGGTTTCCACATTTTCAAGAAACACCTACCCAAAAAAAAAAAAGGACAAAAAATTTTAGTTCCAATCACATAGGATCAAGTCTAAGGTAAGCTAGAGTTAGTATCAGATTTAGAAAGTTACCTTAGGGTTGTGGTCATGAATCAGATTGAGATTAATTCTCAGTTTCCTCATGCATTCAAATGCTTCCTTAAACATCAGTCTGTGAAGAGGCAGAGAGAATGGATGGAAAGGTCATTTTACAAAAACTAAACTCCCTGGATCCAACACCATTATTATGATATAAACCAGTTATAATTAGATTATAGTCCAAATGCCAAACAACTACTACTGGATTTCTACTCTCAACTCACAGAATGAAAAATCAGGTACCAGATTCGCTTGCCTTCGTAAAAGACGGAACTTAGTCACCATGGCAGTCTGAGGACTATACCCCCACATACACATGACCAAAAATCATCACCGAACTTAGGTCTACTTTCTCTTTAACAAAATGCTAATAAAGACAAAGTTTCCCCAAAATAAACTGACAATGGACCATTTCCTTCACAACAGTGGCTCAGGCATTTTTGGGTCACAGGCTCCTCTGTACATCTGCCAAAAGCCTTAGGCCTTCTGCCCGAATAAATACACACAGACACAGTCTGGTGCAATTTCCCTGGGTTCACAGAGCATCTAAAACCTATATGGATCCCCTCAGGCTAGGAAACCCTGTCTTGTATGATGCGTTTCATGATTCTTTCTACTAAGAATATTTACCAGACTAGGTAATTATTAAAATCAAAGTGTAGGAGGAAAAAAAGCCTCTGAGAATCTGATTGAAGACATGTGTATTACAGGTTTTCCATACTTCTAAGTTTTAAAAACTTTAATAGAATACTTACTATCTTCACATATAAGTCATGACAACAAGCAAACTAGTCATATACATGGTTCTTACTTGTCCAGCCACTTCCGAATCTGAGCTAAAACCAGAGCTTGATGATGAACAACTTCTAAGTTTCCCCTTGGCATCTTAAATAAATCAGAACAATGTTTTTAATTAAATAGAAAAAATTTAAATACCCAGGATACACAACTTCACCTAACTCAACTCTTCACAGAGAACTACCATGATCCTGTAAAATGAGCACACTTCTAGCAGAATCTAGCTGTGCTCAGTATTTATTTTGATTTCCCAGAGAAGCTGCCCTTCCAGCCTTGCTGGGCACAGTCTGTATGAGCACTCCTTTGTATAAAGCTAATGGAGAACCTAGCAAGGAATGGCTTATAATAAACTGCTACAAATGATAAGAAGGCCTAAAATACAATCCGCAAGAATTGTTTTGTATTGACAGCCTAACGACAATCAGAAACATAGCCTGAAAAATCAGCTTACCTGTAATATAAGCTTTGTGTCCTGGGGAACAACGGTGACAATACGTGAACCCCTCTCCACCTTCCGCAGAGACTCCCCTTTAGACAGATGGCTGATGCTCAGACCTGCATGTAATGCTAAAGACACCACTGGCTAAGCCATAAGAATCACTGTCATGATAAGACACTTGCCATTAACTGAGGTCAAAACTGAACATATGATCCAAAATAGAAGAAAGCAGGGTCGCCTGGGTGGCTCAGTCAGTTAAGCATCTGCCTTCGGCTCAGGTCATGATCCCAAGGTCCTGGGATCGAGCCCCGCATGAGGCTCCCTGCTCCGCGAGGAGCCTGCTTCTCCCTCTCCTTTTGCCCCTCCCCCCCGCTTGTGCTCTCTCTCTCCAATAAATCAAATCTTAAAAAAAGATTAAAACAAAACAAAATAGAAGAAAGCAATTAACAACAACACCCCTTTGTTCTCCCACTCAACCTTAAGACTAGTAAACTTTCTCATCCCTAGAACTTGCCCTCTCTCACAGAGCCCACGCATATTCACATATATAGCTTCTCAACTGATTGAGAAAACACAGGGAGGATGCAGTGTCTCTACTTATTAGCACTATCAGTACAGTATAATCACATCAGTGAAAGATTCCCAGTTGCCACGTTAGAAGCAAAGATAGTAACTAGAGTTTTCTAGAATAACGAAAATACACACACACACACACACACACAGTGGGGGGAGGGGACACATGGAATTGAAGGAGAAATGGACACAGTTTCCTATAAACCACAAGATGGAGTATTTCAGATCTACAGTGGAGTGTGGTCATAGTGAGCAAAGGAAGATTACAAAGAAGTTAGAGCCAGTTTGTATCTGCATGGTAACCCAAGGATTGTTACATAATCCTGGAAAATTCTGTTGAATTTCACAATGTTCTGCTCCAGGAAGGACTTGGTCTGGAAGTCTTTGCTAACCCGTGAAGAACATTGAACTGAGATATTGTGTTGTGATTAGGGGCTAAGTACGTGAACTCTAAAGGATTTCTTTCTTTTTTTTTTTTTTTTTTTTAAAGATTTTATTTATTTGACAGAGAGCATAAGCAGGGGGAGCGGGAGAGGGAGAAGCAGGCTCCCCATTGAGCAGGGAGCCCGATGAGGGCTCGATCCCAGGACTCCGGGATCATGACCTGAGCTGAAGGCATCACGACCTGAGCTGAAGGCAGACGCTTAACCGACTGAGCCACCCAGGCACCCCTAAAAGAAAGGAAAAGTCTTGGACTTTTCCTTATTCTAGAAAACTCTAGTTACTATCTTTGCTTCTAACGTGGAAACTGGGAATCTTTCACTGATGTGATTATACTGTACTGATAGTGCTAATAAGTAGAGACACTGCATCTTCCCTGTGTTTTCTGAATCAGTTGAGAAGCTATATCTAGGACTCTATGATAAAAAGCCAAAGGAGGTGGTGAACTTTAAAGTCATCAAGACTTCAAAGGACAAACGATAATAGAAGAGGGACTATTTTCTACTATACTGAACACTTACTGTTAAATGAAGCATCTCTCAAGCAAAAACACTGGCAGGTATGGGAATGGGTTGTCAACAACAAAAATTCACCATATACTGCAAATGATGTAATATTCGAAGCAACCTACAACAAGGCAAAGGGGAAAGTTAGCTTTATTACTTGGAGGCAACACTGAAAAGTACCCTGCCCAAAACAAGCCTTGTTACCTCAGTGTCATTGATGAAAAAACGACACCTGTCGCTCAGACCAAGGACACATTCCTGCAAAGAAACAAAACTGAAATTACAAACAATTCTAACCAAACTGGTCAAACCTAATTTTTCTATCACATAGTTCTACTGCCCTGTGGTTTCATATCTAAGTCCATGTCAAGACTGAATACAGACACCCATCCTCATAGCTACCATCCTCTCAGTAGCCAAAACCTCAACACTCTTCCACCACACCCTGTTCATTTCCTTCATTCTATCAGAGGGGATCATCATATCTATATTATGAGCAGGGATTAGTCAGCTCTTTTGTTCTGTAACTGCTGTATCCTACCACCCACCACAATTACAGACATTCCAATATTTGATGAATGGCAACCTCCTGAACACTATTTTTGAGATTACATTTTTGCTGTCCCCAAATGGTATTTAAATAAAACTGATGATCTGTACAACATGGACTAAAAGTCTGCCAACTGCATTTTTCTATTTTTTAATTTATACCTCCAAGGAAAGGAATCAACTAACTACTACATACATGCCGGACAATCTCTTAATCCCACTTCACAGATGAAGAACTGAGGCTCCGAAATTTCTCACTGTTGCCCTGAGATTAAGTGGAGACTCAAGTCTACCTCCAAAGCCCATATTTTTTTACCTAATGCCAGCAATTCCTGGGCCACTGTTCTAAGTGGTAAAGTTTCCTGTTCACTTACCTCTCCTCCAATCATGGCCAATTCAGTCTGTGTGCATGCATAAGGAAACCGAACAGGAAATCCACTGGGGTTCTTCCATGGTTCAACAGCCAGAGAGGGTGACTCTGCAGGATTGGCAGATGAGGTTTACAAAAAGCTGGTATGCTCACTGTAAAACACTGTCACATCAAGACTTGCTGAGACACTTAACATGCAATTGGGATCACTTTCCAAATATATTTTGGAAACTCATTAAAACACTCTGGTCCATTACAGAATACACCTGCCAATTCCACTCTACAGCTTAGGGTTTTCCAGGACAGTTAAAAGACCTAACTGTCAATGTAGCATTGACAAGAAACTCTTAAGTACACATCCTCAAGAATTAAACATTTATGTAAGTCATAAACATGCTTTCCGAAAATTCTGATACTCACCCCAAAAGTACTTAAGTATCTGGCCACCAGCCAGCTGCAATGCTACTGACTTGGTCTTGGAATTGCAACACAGACTGATTATGACTCCATCCACTGTCACAGATGAACTGACAAAATTAAAAAAAGAAAAGTAGTAGCATTTCACTGATTTTGCAGAAACAGGTAAAGAAATAAACAATTTCCCTTTGGGCTGCACTGCCTATTTCAATACAATATATACATACTACATACATACACATGCACACACACACACACACATATACACACTGATAAATATTTCCAGCAGAAGGCCAAAGTAATGACCTGTCACATGACAATGTTTTCCATAATGCCAATAAGCTAGGTGTCTAAGCTGTGAGGTCATCACTCGCATTCTGGCAGCAACTTAATACAACTTATAACAACTTATTGCCTTCCTTAGACATGCATGGTATCATTTCTGTCTCCTTAAAATATATACTGTAGTAAATAAAGCAGTGAGTCTGCAGGAAAATGAGCATACTCAGTATCTCTTACTGCTATCATATTCATTCATGGAAATCTGTGGGTCTTCATTAATTGAGAAGAGGGGAATCTGTTACTGTCATATTTTTTCCTGTGTCAATGAAGAGAGTAGACGTGTCTTAAAAGTAAGTGGAAGAGGTAGCAATAAAAGCAAATGTTGCCAATGCTAGTATTTATTCAAAGAGTTTTTAGCCAATACACAAAAAAGTCAAAATGCCCCAAATTTTGTGAGGATAAATGATCTGCAAATAGGTTAAGAGAACAGACTCCAGAGTGAGACTGGCTGGGACTGGATCAAGGCTCTACCTGCATGATGCCAGGCAAGTTACTGAACCGCTCTGTGCCTTAGTGGTCTCAGCTATAACACAAGAACGCTAATAATACATACTTCAAAGTGGCAGCGTGAGAAAGAAGTGTTACCATAGAGAAAGCATTGAAAAGAGTACCTTTTACAAAACGTAAGCTGTTATAAATGTAAGGTATTAAAAGCTATAAGATGACTGAGGGACTTTATATTCCCTAAAGACATTAATATTTTATATGAACAAAACAGCCTTTTTTTGAGAAACAAAAGTCAAAGCAGAAATGTATTTTAAATGACTTCTCATTTCCTTTACAGCAAGTGAGATGATCTAGCCTTTTTTCCTGCAAGCTGATGGTAAAGAATTTCAAATTCGGAGAAGCAGAAATGTGTACAGTTTAGGTATTTCTAATGTAAATTGCTCTGCTTTTTATTATTTTTTTAATTAAGTTTTTATTTTATTTCTAGTGTAGGTATCAGTGTTGTATTAGTTTCAGGTGTATAACAGAGTGATTCAGAACTTCCAGACATCAGCCGGGGCTCATCATGACAAGTACACTCTTTAATCCCCATCACCTGTTTCACCCATCTTCACCCCTCCATTCGCTCTACTTTTTAAAAGTAAGCTCCTGGTTAACTGAGTGTTGCATATAGCTAGAACATCTCCTGTAACCATCTGGATATTCACAAAAGCTTTGTAAAAATATGAAGCACTATGAGTCAAAGATTAGGAGTTAACAACTACACTAGAATATGTTTTGTGTATACCATGAAGAAAAGTTCCTAATTTTACAGCAAGGGTTTTCAGAATTGAAATCTAACTAGGAAACCCTTAACTACAAGTGAGTATGAGGATTAATATCAGCTTATGTTTAATGTGCCAAGTTCTGACATCGAAAGTCTGAGGATTTCTCAGAGCTGTCCACGCAATGCCATCTACTGCACAACGGGGCTTGAGTTAGAGACACTACAGAAAACCGCATCCATTATCTGATACCTGTGACAAACATGCAGTCCGGAATCAAAGCAAAACTCAGGGCCAGGGAGCAGTGAAATTTTAGCAAAGAGAAACAGAGACGACTGTCTAGTAGTACATGTAGTCAAGCGCCAAACAGAACAAAGAGAAGCCAAAAGCAGCATTTTGAAGTCACCACATCCAATGAAATGCATGTACACAGACCTTATCATTGATTTTAGTAACTAACAAGGGTGACCACAGTGGCTAATTCTCTTGGGCTAACAATTACCCTGCTGGAATGTAAGTATATGCTGAATTAAAAATTGTAACACATCTTCAAAATGTTTTGCCCCATCTGTTAGTATTTGTCCTATGTTCCACCACCTCTTGATGCATTTTTAGGTCTGTATTTTGATGTGACTCAAAACTACACTTAACGCTCTTGCTAAGTGTGTTTAACAAAGCAACTACTGCCCTCAACCTTGCTCAGTAGAAGTCAAAAGAGTCCTATACCCAGAAAGACAAAAGTGTAATTCAATCGGCTTATGAGCACACAGAATGCAGGGAAGCGTCGCAATACCTAATATTGAGCTGTCCGTGCTCGTCATCCATCTCAGAAGGGGCCACAGTCAGATGGTGAATGACAGACTGTGCGCTGGACTGACTGTGACTTACAGCCAGGAAAACGTCTTCCTGAATCCAGGTGAGAAGGCTGAGCTTCAGTGGGTTTACTTCTTGACCTTCACCATTCTCAAACTGAATTCTGTTTTAAATATTGAAGAATATCCAAGACATGAATAAAGCCCTAATATCACTGAGATTTTCTTTTTTTTTTTATTCTTATGTTAATCCCCATACATGACATCATTAGTTTTAGATGAAGTGTTCCATGATTCATTGTTTGTGCATAACACCCAGTGCTCCATGCAGAATGTGCCCTCCTCAATACCCATCACCAGGCTAACCCATCCTCCCACCCCCCTCCCCTCTAGAACCCTCACTTTGTTTTTCAGAGTCTATTGTCTCTCATGGTTCGTCTACCCCTCCGATTTCCCCCCCTTCATTCTTCCCCTCCTGCTACCTCCTTCTTCTTTTTTTTTTTTTCTTTTCTTAACATATATTGCATTATTTGTTTCAGAGGTACAGATCTGAGATTCAACAGTCTTGCACAATTCACAGCGCTTACCAGATCACATACCCTCCCCAGTGTCCATCACCCAGTCACCCCATCCCTCCCACCCCACCCCCCACTCCAGCAACCCTCAGTTTGTTTCCTACAATTAAGAATTCCTCATATCAGTGAGGGCATATGATACATGTCTTTCTCTGTTTGACTTATTTCACTCAGCATAACACCCTCCAGTTCCATCCATGTCGTTGCAAATGGCAAGATCTCATTCCTTTTGATGGCTGCATAATATTCCATTGTATATATATACCACATCTTCTTTATCACTGAGATTTTCTTAAATGAAGAATGAACCACCTTGTATAGAGTCAGTTCCTAATTATTTGGAGGGACAAAACCTGAGGTAATGCCAGAATGTTCTTCTATTTAATATTTAGGTTTCTTATATTCTGAGATCTTTAGATTTGAAGAGAACACTTCAGGAAACTGACTACACAAGAAAATCACTTGCCCCAGGCCCTACAGTAACAAACCCCAGAGGTTTTCCACTGTCACCACTTATCAGCATTCAAACCAGACTCCAGCAGATATGTGGGTCTTGGCAGAGTGGGTCATTTTTAAGCATTTCACATTAAAATGACTAATTAGCTTCAGAGACGGTTTCTTTGGCCTCTAACACCTGCCTCCTGTAGCATTAACACATCAGGGGACAGCACGTTTTTGCCAACTCAGGCAGGAACCCACAATGGCTACTTCTCCTGCCTTTTAGCTTAAGTGGCAAATCCTCCGCACGCACTGAAGAAGCTGTGTCACTACCCTGATCTTCCTACTCAAACAGCTCTCCCTGGTCTCAGCCCCTCCACTGCGTTCTTCCCCACATCGGGGCATTCCCACCTCTGGTTCCCACTGACACGTCCTGTCAACCACAGCCAACACTCCCAGTCCGTCTCTGCCGGTCCTAACCTGATCTCTTCTTCAAAGATCAAGATAGGTATTCATGTCCTTCATGAAATCTCCTAAATGACTGGGAGCTATACTTCTCTCAATTTTTTAAAAATTATATACTAAATTGCTTCACGCTTCCTAGTTTGCCTTAAGTCTGTCCTCTAGTGGGTTCAATTCTGTGAAATGAAATAACCCACATAAATGTTCTTTGAAAACGGCTAAGCATTATACAGACAGCCCCCAAATCATACACAGGTTAAAAACTTATACACATTCATTGAACATAGTGCATATATTTAAGAAACATATTACTTATGAAATTCACTTATTTTACTCAGTTTACTGTCCCTATTAATTTATAAATAAATGCTCTCAGGAGGCAGAGTTCAATAATTACGAACATGTGCTTATCAAGTAGAATAAAATCAAATCCTGGATTCTCACAGAAATGGTATTAGAATTGATAATTAGCTTCAGGGTCATTTTACAATACTTATCATGTGCCTGAGGTACTCATTTATATCCAACCGTTTATAATATCCTTTCAATGGGAAAACACATTCTGATTTCCAACCTGAGAGACTCAAAACGCAGCAACCTGAAGTTGTGGAGTGTGGATGCGACAAAGACAGAGACCGCATTCAGTCAGCCATGTGTGAACAACACAGACCCCCTCATGTACGTAAGCAAACGCAGCTTGGTCCTATCATCCTCATCTCCACATTTCCCACGTGGTCTTTCCTGGAAAACCAAGGGCTGTTGGAGGAAATGGGTTCTAAGCCAGCTACCAGCCTGGCTCCATGGCCACCCACCAGCACATGGCATTCAGATGTACCGGTAACTGACTTCCACAGCAGCCTGAAAAACCTGGGCTAGGCACTGCATCTACTCCTTGTCCCACTCAGCAACAGGCACAGAACAGGAAGAGCTGGCTGAATTTAGGCCTCAATGCTGTTCCTGGAGGCCCCAGGTAATCAAGAACAACCTACTTGTATCTCTTTTCCAGATGAGGTGTTCTAAGAGAAACTTTAAATCCATTTCCACCTACAGCTCCCAGCTTCACTGTAGGGTCCACACTTGGACTATCACCTAGAACACAAAAATGCAGTTACTATCATAGTAAACTACACACATTTTCCCTGATACTAAGGGTACTGAATTCTGCACTTAGTGGGTTCTAGAAGGTAATCCACTTTAGATACAAAGCAATCAGAAACAACCACATCTCAACCTCTTTCTTAAATCTGTCTGCCTTTCAGGCTGAGAATTCAGGACGATTTGAAAACAAGGCTGCCAGTATCATGTGCCAGTATAATTTACATGTTCATAGAACTCACAAATAAAAACACATTTCAGCTTCTCCTGGACATCAGGAAAGCAACCAGCAACTGACAGAAATGGGACGGTGGAAGGACAACTGGATTAGAAGCTAGAACACCTAAGCTGAGATCCTCGTCCATTCTTGTTTAAGCAAACTGCAAACACCCTGGCATTCTCTTCCTTCGTCTATAGAACAGAAAAACACCAGATCTGATGCCGCTCCTAGGAAAGCTGTGAGATCAACTGGAAATATGTGCAAAGGCAATGAGAACTGTAAACGACGTTAAAGACCCAGTAAAATACTATGCTACTGGGGTGCCTGGGTGGCTCAGTCGTTAAGCGTCTGCCTTCAGCTCAGGTCATGATCTCAGGGTCCTGGGATCGAGCCCCGCATCAGGCTCCTGGCTCAGCGGGAAGCCTGCTTCTCCCTCTCCCCCTGCTTGTGTTTCCTCTCTCGCTGTGTCTCTCTCTGTCAAAAGATAAATAAAATCTTTAAAAAAAAAAAAAATACTATGCTACTTCCAGGGTGAATGTTATTCTTAAATCACTGACACTTTAATAAGCAAAAGGAATTGCTCTTATGAGCCACAGTGGGATTAGACCCCCTCCCATCCCAAAAAATCCCACAAATCAATTATATATCATCATGATAATGATATTAATTACAAACTTCAAAGTTTTTAGAAACACTGGAGCTAAGGCAACACCACACTATCACTTGATTTTGTGCAGGAGGGACTTGGTTCAGAACATCCTGAACCAAGTTTTTGAACATACCACATTTATAAACAGAAATCTGGTTACTGGCGTCTAGGACTGCAAGGTCATTACTCTTTTGGGGGTGTGCAGAGAACATGACTTGATTTGCAGGGTGTGGGAGCAGCAGTCGATAGGTGCACATGGGAGGTGGAACCACACTCTGTCGGAAGACTGTCACCAATACCCTGTCTGCGTAGGAGAGGGAGAGAGGAGATTAGACACATGGATGCTTAATTTGTAAAATGAAGCATCTGACAGCACAGTACCACTAACTAATAATGGGGGTAGAAAATATACAGCAATTCCTAAAAATGTTTGGTGGTTTTTTATTATAAATAAGCTTAAACACAATATACAGGGAAAATTAAGTGTCAGGGCTCTGTATCTGGCTACTGTCACCTCCAGGCCCAGAGCAGTCCAACTCCTGCGAACAAGGGCAACAAGGCCAAGGGTTCTAGCTTGAAACCAAGGCCAGCAACCAAGTCAGACTGAACCAAGGGAATGATTCCCTTGAAAATCATTAAACCACATCCCTATGCATGTTTTTAGTAATATGACATATCTGATTAAGTCCTCTGGACAGAACATATGATTGTAAAATCAGTATTAGGACTACTACACAGAACAAAATTAGAAACAAGTTTTTCTTTATGTTACCAGCATTAAGTAAACTGTCTTTTCAGATGACTATTTCTTGTCCCAATTCCCTCCCCCTCATCAAACAAAAAACACCAACCAATCCTCACACTAGACAGATGTCTGTGACTTGAACATATTGGAGAGATTATGTAAATGACAAGTATTTTATCAAAAAGCAAAGCAACCCAGTTGGGGGTGTGCAAGGGTCAATGTAAATCTATGGCAGGGCAAAAAGGAAGGCTAGTACACCCAACACCACAAGACACTGCTATCTTCTTCCATGCCTGGGGTCAAAATTTTCAACGTCTTCAAAGGCCAGACAAGTAAATTCGTGAAGACTATGGATGGAATTGGGGTGGGCAGGGGTAGGGGTGAGGAGGAAGGACTATGGTTCTCAGGAGAGTACATGCCCCACTAAGGGCATCCCCATCCACTCAAAACAAAACAGGAAATAAGTAAAAATAAACGAAACCACCAACGCAGACACAAATCAAAATTCCCCAGTTTTAGTCAAACCACCACATCTGCAGGCACAGGCTCACGGACACGCTTCCCAGCTCCTTACTTCCATCAATGACAGCCACGTTTGCCAGGTCACTGGAACTCTCTCCCGAGCTCCGGTCAGTCGTCCAGCACCAGTCGTAGCAGAGGTAATGCCAGCCCTGACAGAGAACGTGCAGCCGGGACGGGGTCACCAGGTCCCACATCAGAGACACGAGCTTGCTCTTCCCGCAGGTACTGAAGGACAGACTCTGCTTGAGATACCAGTGATAGTTGCCCACAGTCCAGAGCTGCACTGCAAGGGGAAACGCAAGGAGGGCCGTCAGAGGCCAGACGACCAGACCTCCCATCACCTGCTGGATGGGGATGGGGGCAATTGTTTCTTTTTCAAATGACCCTTCCTGCTCAACCTCTTCATCCAAATAAAAATATTAACAATAATATTAGTCAAGAAGTAGTTTTCCATGGGGATGAACAAAGGCCAGAAGCACACATGTTAAGGTTGTCTCTACTTTCAAACTTTAGGATCATGAGGACTGAAAATTACTAGGACAATAGTGCTTTAGTGAGTTGTTTTTTCATAAAGATTTAGAAAGAAGAAAATTAGGCAATTAGATTAAAAGTATTAAAACACTCAATCCGAGAGCATGAGATTAGCATCACTATGCTGTATTAGGCTTAAGATGCTGATTCTTTTCCCCCAGGAGCTTTCCCTACAGTTCTGTCCCAGGCCATCTGGTATTAAGCATGACTCAGCTCTCCAAGGAAAATCACTACTTATCCTGTATCAGCAACTGTCCCTTCCAACATCTGTTAAAAGAATAAGACCTAATCCTGGGGCGGGGAGGAAATGGGGGAGATGTTGGTCAAGGAGCACAAACTTTGAGTGCAAGTTCCGGGGATCTGATAAACAGCATGGTGACTACAGTTAACAACCTGTGTGGTGCACTTGAAAGTCGCTATGAGAGTAGGTCTTAAATGTTCTCACCATATTAACCAAACTGGGAATTATGTAAAGTGAAGGATGTTAACCAACTTCACTGTGGTAAACATGTCACAATATACACGTGTATCAAATCATCCCAGTGTACATCTTAAGCTTACATAGTGTTGTAGCTCAACAAAGCTGGGGGAAAAAGACCTAATCGTGTTGAAACCAACTTTTATTAGAACACTTCTACCTAGCTGTAAGTTGCTAGGATAGGCCACGTACTCATGCTCTGTGAGGACAGACGATGGGGCTGTTCTTGCGCCACACTTTTATCCCAAGCGTATCACAGTGCCAGCCCCTGCCACCCTGCCTAATCAGAGGTTCGCTCCTCTGGCTGCACGTTAACAATCACCTGGGAGCTTTTTTATTTTTTCAATTCAGCACTGATGTATAGTCCCCATTCTAACACGCTGAATCCAACTCTGAAATGAGGCTTGGATGGCATTTTTTTCTTAAAGGCACAGCCAGCGTTGAGAAGGACTGTGTCATGAATGAATAAATAAACGACCTTCTAAATAACATTTCAATTAAAGAAAAAGTTCTATTGATTAAAAAGTTTGAAAGCCACTTAAAAAATAACCAAGTAAAAAGATTTAACAAAAATGTTCAGTGCATTGCTGTTGATACGAAAAATTATAAAATTTTAAATGCCTAACAGCATGAGATTTAATAAGCTGTGGCACAAATGAGTATTATATAGCAATTTAAAATGATGCCTATGGGTACCTGAAATGGAAACATGTCTATGACGTTATAAATCTACCTGTATCACATACTTAACAAAACTGAGATCATAGCCATACTGTTTTATATACATAAAATCTGAAAGACAAGAAAATTTTAACAGTGCTCATTACTGAGCAACAGAATTATGGAAAAACTTTTGTTTCTTCTCAACTTTACTTCCTAATATTTTCACAGACTACACATACACTGGAAAATACATATTTACAATCTGATCTACAATAAAAAGGTATAGAGATGATTCTTACTTGTAGCTAATGCCGTTTCTCTTTCACTGCTAGTTTTCCTGTGTCTAGCACTTTAACTTCCTGTAGTAACACCATCCATGCACAGAAAGCACTGATGACTTGTGATGGTTAGTTTTATGTCAACTAGGCTAGGCTATGAGGTCCAGCTATTTAAACAGACACTAGTCTAGATATTGCTGGAAGGTATTTTGTAGATGTGATTACCCTTCACAATCATTTAACTTTAAATACAGAAGATTATCCTCCATAACGTGGGTGGGTCTCATGCAAAGAGCTTGTGGCCTTTAAGAGCAAAAACTGAGGTTTCCCAGAGAAGGAATTCCTCAAGAATGTAACACAGAACCTGCCTGCGTTTCTGGACTGCAGGCCTGTCCTTACAGATTTAAGACTCAAGACTGCAACATCAACTCTTAACTGAATTTCCCACCTGCCAGCCTGCCCTGATTCTATTTGTCTAGAGAACCCTGACTGATACATGACTAAACTCCATAAATAATCAAAACCAAACCACTCCCTCATCTCTACTTATCCCGTTAGTTATCTCTGATTGTACTACAGGACAACGTAGAGGAAGAAAGGCAACTTCACAGCCCACTACTTTCAACTACATTTTATGTGGCATAAGGCTGAGACACTAGCGCAGTCTTACCATAGGTTTTTAGAGTGCAATTTTCTTCCCTCTGAAGGTCTTCCAGCCAAACTGCAAGCACAGTGGAATCTGCATTCCAGAGCAGGCCATTTACCTAGTAAGGAAAAAAGACGTGTCACTGGCTTTTACCTATGTATATACTTCAAAATCTTTACAAGAGCTGAGTTCCCCACTCTCATAAACCAAATAATCCACTACTTGAGCTGATCCCAGGTTATAAATTATGAACTTACGGAATCATTAAACAAATCTAGGTAATATGTCATTATATGTAGGAGATGTTTAAAAAATGCATTATGCTTAAAAATTTAAGACTTAACCAAATTACAAGTTGACATTTTTAGACAATCAGGGAAATTTGAACATGAACTAAGTATTAGATAATACTAAGGAATTACTAATAATCTTGTAAGGTTTGATAATGGATTTGTGGTATTATAAAGAAAAATATTTCCTTACCTGTTAGAAATGAGTATTAAAAATACAATTTCTAAAATTAAAACCCCAGGAAACAAAACCATGTGCATGTGTTTAGGTTAGAAAGTGGTGATTGGGCGAAAACTCTACAAAATGTTGGCATCTGTTGAAAGTGAGTAAAAAGGACATGGGCGTTCATTAAACTCTTCTCTCAACTTTTAGCTTCAAGTTTTAATTTACATGTAACATAATTTTAAATTATGTGTATGTTTACATAATTAAAGCTTACCATTCGGTGTTTCTGCTCCAGTAAAAATCCTAATGATACACAAGTGGCTTAAGGTTTAAATGTTATTAATGAAAAGTATCTACCATTGGAAGCATTATGCTTTTGTCCGGATAAACAATACAAAGGAGAATTTCTATTTCTATCTGTGTTTTACCTAGGGCAAGAAAGAATGCCATTTCTTCTTTGCAAAAGATCCTTAAAAATCTCTCTTTCAAAAAAAATTCATTTATAAGAACCCAATATTTTTATTACTGTCTACTCCAGAGCTTCTCTTTACATGCCCGGATCAGATATAAGCCTCTACAGCTATGGAAAGTCCTCTCAATCTGATGGTCAAACAACTCAGGCACTTACCTTAACCTCATCTTTGAGGAAAGGAAGCGTAAAATGTCCATGAAGAAGGCCATTTTTCTCAAAAAACACAATATCCTGCTGATTGGGTTTCTCTTGTGTAGATGCAATCAAACTACCTGAGGGCCTTAAAGCAAACCCTGAGTGTTAGGACATCCGAAAGTGCAGCCAGCTGGCTAAGAACAAGAGGAAAGTCAGAGAAATGACTCTTCCAACAAAAAGTCTCTACCCAGAAAGGTTTAAACCCCACACGTCTCTTGGCAAGCACTTCAGCCTCATGTGGACTACACCTGCCCAAAGGAGAGAGTGCCTCTTCCTAATTTGCACAAAGGCTCCATGTGCCCACAAAGACTTACAAATTTAGACTGCACCAATGTGACTTTTAAATAAAACAATAAATTTTTAAAACTATTCCAAGTATAATATCCTATAAAAACAGTGTGTTTCTCCTTCAAGTATATGACTTCAGCAACTAGTCCACACTCAGGTAGGTATTTAAGACTTCTCAATCTACTTAAAACATTCCAATTACCTCATCTTATTCATATTTGTCTCTAATTTAAATACCTCTCTTTGCTCTGTCATTCAATTGTCACTCAAATACTGCTGGGAAACATGATGTCTAAAACCCAGAGACCTAGGGCTTTGGCATGTAACACATGCTCCTGAGACAGGACACATTTCTTCGGTCTTTACTCAGGGCAGGTGCAGACACGGGACACGAGGTAAACTGAGCCTGAATCCAGCCTGCACGTTCCTCGGCAAGCAGAACCCTCTAGCGAAAGAGCCTGTGGCTTGTGCCGAGAAGAGAGCCCTCTTCCTAGTTTTCACCAAAGCTTCACTGCCCCAAAGAGCTGTGTAGACTATGACTTCCCTTGTAAGCACCACTTTCTGTCACAGCCAACGGCTTCCTACAGGCCCGCCCTATAAGCTGTAAAATGTGTGGGCCTTGGAATGATGACATCTGGGAAGAAGCTCTGAATCGACTATTCAAATTGAATTCAGACTTCAGAAAAATTAGAAAGAGAAAGATACAGGCTTAGAGCCAAATGAGGAGAAGTTAATATCCTTTTGTGTTATAGAAACACCTGTACTCAACAGGTACTACCACCCCTACCCCAGGTCCAAGATACTCCCCAAGGAAGAAGTTACAAGGTTTCTTCTCCCACTCACTTCCAAGCCAGAGCTGGTCCCAGTCCGGCCACAGGCTCACTGGTTGACTGCAAAGCAAACTCTCGGTTCCATACTCTGACCTTCCGGGCTCCTGTGTAGCAGGCAGAGTTAAAATAAACAGACAAACTTAAAATGTTGTCAAGTCAGAACTATTCAAACATCTCATTAATAAAACCTGCCAAGTAGATTAATCTTGTTAAGAATTTGTACCCAACAGGTAGGAGGCTGGACCAGATGACCTCAAAGAATTCCTGCAGTCCTTAGCTCTAAATTCATTTAATGTCTAAAGCAGCACCTTATATGTATAATTTTAGAAAGCAAAAGGAAGAAAATTTTCTTGAACTTCATAAAATAAAATTTCTTTTTTTTTTTAACTGCAATTTATTTCCATACCTGTCTCTGGGCAAACAACACTCACAGCAAAAAACTGGCCATCACCACGCCATGTCACTTGTGGTCTATGGTCATCCCAGGGCAAAGCCGACTCGTACTAAAGAGGGGAAGGGAACACAAATGTTACTGGAGGACTTAAATGGCCCAGAATCAAACAAGCCCCAGGGTATTAAAGTTAAATCTTTTACTTGAGATTTCAACTATCTAGAAAACCAACTTCACAGAATCCTCAGGAACCCTTCTAGAAGGCCTCTTAGACCCAGAAATCATCAAGAAAAGAGAACAAAACAAAATCTGTCTTCAGGCATTAAAAAAGTGGCCTCCAAGCACTGCAACAGAGGAAGAGAGCTGTAGATCTGGATATTCTGCCAGGTAAGCAGGATGAGGAAATAAATGTTTTGTTTATCTAAATGGAAGAGGGTAGAGTTCTGGTTCTTTGATTACTGTGTAAGCTTCACAACAGCACAGAGATGACTTAAGAAGATGAGAGGAAGGCAGGCAAGGAAAATCAGAGGCGGTAAAGCCAGCAGCGATGATGAAAACACAGAAGAGTTCTACGTTCCGCAGTATGGGAAGAAGAAAGGTCTCCAGTGCCCCCTGCATCTCAATCCTGAAGGCCTTGAAGACGGGCTGACTCTGCAGGGTGGGGAACAAAGGACCACCCGAGCACCTATTCCAGTAAAAGGGTGCAGCAGCAGGCTCCAGCGCCACGGTCTGCATGGGAGGGCATACACAGGCAGCCTAACAAGACCTATTATTCTCAATGACACTGCCCTACGGCAGAGAACATAAACCTCCTCTAGTGAATGGTTAAGAGATGACAGATGAGGGGCGCCTGGGTGGCTCAGTTGGTTAAGCGACTGCCTTCGGCTCAGGTCATGATCCTGGAGTCCCTGGATCGAGTCCCGCATCGGGCTCCCTGCTCGGCGGGGAGTCTGCTTATCCCTCTGACCCTCCCCCCCTCTCATGTGCTCTCTCTCATTCTCTCTCTCAAATAAATAAATAAAATCTTTAAAAAAAAAAGATTAAAGATTTTATTTATTTGAGAGAGAGAGAATGAGAGAGAGCGAGTACATGAGAGGGAGGAGGGTCAGAGGGAGGAGCAGACTCCCTGCAGAGCAGGGAGCCCGATGCGGGACTCCATCCAGGGACTCCAGGATCATGACCTGAGCCGAAGGCAGTTGCTTAACCAACCGAGCCACCCAGGCGCCCAAATAAATAAAATCTTTAAAAAAAAAAGTATCTAATATATATATGTAGGAAAAAAGTATGAAAACACCCATGGAATGATCAATAGTGAATTAAGGACAGCAGCTATTTCTGGGAAGGAAGGAAAGAGTAACAGGAAAGGATACACAAAATGCTTCATTTCTGTCTGTGATGATATATTTTTTAAACTGAGTATTGGTTATAATTATTCTCTATACAGAAAAGAAATTACAAAGCAACTTGGCAAGGAAAAAGGGTCTTTCTAGAATGACTCATTCCCTAAGGGCTCAAAACTGTTTCAGTTTACTAAAGCACAAGAGCTCTGTCCATTATTAGCCTCTAACAGGACACCTAGAGTTCCTGGTACATGGCAAAACTTCTATTTGTTCCAGTCAAGGTTCTGTGTCCATCAGACCAATCAAACTTACCGTTTGCACCTGAAAGGCTGCTTGCCGGCCTTCTGATCCATGGAACTGCGTCTCCTTCCTGCCCCACCCAACAGTGATAAACTTGCCTAGGGAACAATTGATGGAGAACATGCAAGACAACCAATAAGCTAAATTAAATGAAATAAAAGCAGTTTCATTGCTATTCTTTATTAAGTTAGTCATTGGCAATTACTTGGGTCCTCCGAGACCTCTCAATAAATTGACCAGCACTCAATATTTGAAAAACCAATATTCCATATTATACGCAGCAATGATTTTTGAAGAATTTGAAATGGCCTTATTTGGGAAAGCACTTTACTGCCATTTTATATATTCTAAATTCCCTTGATGACAGCAATTCCCACTTTGCAAGTAAGAAGAATGAAACACGAAGAATTTACAAGACACATCCATGGATAAGAACATTAAACTCAAGACGAAAGCTGGGAATAAAATTCTGATTATAAACATTCAATCAACTAAATGTATCCAACCTCCCTATCAGTGGTGAAAGGAACTGTAGATTATGGAATTCACTCCTCACACAGACACAGAGACTGAGACAGACCCTCCAGTGGAAGAGGCCAAAATTAGAACACAGGGTATCTGCCTTCTAGCCTGAGGTTCTCTCTAAATCATAATGTTTCTCTTGCATAAAAGAAGAAATCAGAGATGCTAAAATAATGCAGCCCCCTATTCCTGGAGGAGAATCAGGCATCCACCAGCAACAGGTACTACAGAGATGTCTCTAAAAGCTTCAGCCAGATCCAAAACCCAATACTTCCCTCCTGCCATTGATCCTGATGAAGCAGGGCTATTTATAATTTCTATATATTATGGGTCAGCATGACCACTTCCTGTCTGCTTCGCATGGGCCATGTGAGTACTATAATACCTCAAAGCACACCTTGCAGCTATCTATGAACAGCAATGCCCACCCCGGTGCACACCCTTGTGCTTCTGAAACTTTCCAGAGAGATGTAAAGGACCAAGGAATGAAGCAAAAGAACTTTTTCAATGGGATCAGACAGTAAGTGGTGGGGTTATAGCAGGTATCAGCAAACTACAGCCTATGTCTACATTTACGAATTAAGTTTTATTGGGGGCATGTGGGTAGCTCAGCAGGTTAAGCGTCTGCCTTCAGTTCGAGTTATGATACTGGGGTCTTGTGATCGAGCCCCTCATCAGGCTCCCTGCTCAGCAGGGAGCCTGCTTCTCCCTCTCCCTCTGCCACTCCCCCTGCTTGTGTGCGCACTCTATCAAATAAATAAACTACATCTAAAAAACAAAACAAACTTTTATTGGAACACAGACATGCTCATTCCTTTATGTATTGTCTATAATTGCTTTCACAATACAATAACAGAGGTCACTGCAACAGAGGCTAAATAGCCTGCAAAGCTGAAAATAACTGCTATCCAGCCCGTCACAGAACAAGTCTGTCAACCCCTAGGTTAGAGGAAAAATACCTATTCACAACTCCACAGAATGATTTTTTTGTACTGACAAATGTATGCCTAAGACCTAGGATGCTAACTTGGACCCTTTCTCCCTTGACTTACACTCTATTATTAGGCTTCTTCTGAAAAAGTTAGTTGGATTAGCCAGGCCCAGTGCACTTTCCCATCCAAAGGTGTGCTGGTTTCTTCTTCTATGACTATCTTCAAAAATGGATGCCCAGGAATTCCACCACAGATCCTAGACTCTTCTAGCACCATACCTGTCCCTGACCAAATTCACGTCCTCCCAAGACTGGAAAGATTCCCTCCATGCCACTGACTCCCAATCCACAAGTCTGGCCTATCCTGAGCTTCAGCTACTTATGTCTGCCTACTCCACATGGTGATCCCATAAGGTCCTTAAACAAACCAAAACTCACCAGCTACTGCTTACAAGCTAGCACTTCTCCATCCACCGTATCAGTTACTGGTACCTTTATTCCCATCACCTGAACTTCTGACTACAGTCCCACTAAACTCTTTCTTCCTCAGCTTACATACCCAAACCCATTTATTTCACTTTTTTTTTTTTTTTTAGATTTTATTTATTTGACAGAGAGACAGCAAGAGAGGGAACACAAGCAGGGGGAGTGGGAGAGGAAGAAGCAGGCTTCCCACTGAGCAGGGAGCCCGATCCGGGGCTCGATCCCAGGACCCTGGGATCATGACCCGAGCTGAAGGCAGACGCCTAACGACTGAGCCACCCAGGCGCCCCTTATTTCACTTTCTAAACTGCTATTTCTCAAACTGGCTAGGACGGCAGGGCAACCATGCATACATATTCCAATGACATTTCTCAGATAATTCCAACAATGTATTCCCCTCCTGAGAATCAAATTTTTTCTGAATTCATTCCTTCTTTTAGCCCACACCCACCTTCCTTATCTGGATTCCTATAGCACTATCTGATCACCCTGACTCCAGTCTCTTCCCTCTCCAGTAATCAACCAATGAATCTTGGGTCATCAAAACCGTTAATGGCTGAGCATCTGTATATCCAAATTCCCTCCCAAACTCAATCAAAATCTATCCTGTTTATTTCAAGCCACACTCATGTCCTGCCAGCAGCAATACCAAAGTACTCACAGCTGCCTGAACAAGCCATGACTCGTCTATGTAGCATCTGTGCCTTGGAATGGGCTAATTCCATTGCTTAGACTCTCCACCCTCAACTCTCACCGACCCAACACCAGTTCGGCCCAGCCAAGACTTAGCTCACGCCAGCCTCCTCTGGGAAGTCTTCCCTGTCCACTGCTCCCTTCCTCCCCTCATGCTACCCTAATGCCTGCACATCATGTTATTATGGGACTCCTCAAAAGAAAAGCTGAATTATCCACAGCACCAAACACACTGCTGTGTTCATCGTACCTACTCAAAAATCATTTCTGAATAAATTATTTTTGAATGAATAAATGAGTAGCAACTTTCTAAATGATTTCTGAGTAGGTAGAAGAAAGCATAAGGTCAGGAATCAGTAAAAGTTAAAATCCCTTCTCCCCCCATCCCTCTCCTCAATCAGGCCATCTATCTGGTGCCCTCGTGTTGGTCAGAGCTTCTTATATACAATAAACATCTCTCCCCTTCTCCCCCCCTTTTTTTTTAAAGATTTTATTTATTTATTTGACAGAAAGACATACAGCAAGAGAGGGAACACAGGCAAGGAAAGCGGGAGAGGGAGAAGCAGGCTTCCCACGGAGCAGAGAGCCTAATGCGGGGCTGTATCCCAGGACCCTGGGATCATAACCTGAGCCGAAGACAGACACTTAATGACTGAGCCACCCAGGCTCCCCAGCCTTTCTCCTCTTTCAATACTCCCAAAGCTCCAAGGCCCAAATCACCGCAGCTAGATCTTAGCAAGAGAACAATCTGATGGCTCCCATGAAAATATAGAGTAAGGTCTAATCAGTAGGAACTAAAACTCAGCCTTCTATCCCACCTCTCTTGTTTTTGCCCCAAAACTGCACCCCAGAAATGCTCTCTTTATTTTAGCTAACATAGTTCCTTTCGTTGAAGCCCCAGCCTAAGCCTGTCCCGAGGTTTGGGCAACAACTACGTAGGTGACATTAAGCAGATTTCTGTTCCCCAGGTTACTGGCAAAGTGAACTCTCAGACTTGGAGAGGCACCAGGGGTATGCCTTTTACAGTCTGGAATGGGCTAAAGGGATGGGCTTATCAGACATTTAATGCACAAGGCTATATGTTTCATAATTCTTTGGGTTTATGATGTGGCTATTAGTGTACAAGAAAATGATCAAACTTGAGAGGAACTTCAGATCACAAAATGTTTCAAAGCTATACTCACTTTCACCAAAATCATCCTGGTGGATCTGCTGTTCCATGATCGGTTCAAAGTCTTTTGTCATCATAATTAGGGTCTGCTGACCTTGGGTGGGCACAAACAAAAACAATTTTGTTTTCATGTAACAAATTTGCCGTTTTGTAAGTATCTACAACACTGGAAGCTACAGAACTGGAGTGGAGGAGTGTAGAGTCAGAATATGGAAGACATAATTCATTCTAAATATTTTGACTCTCATTTGAAAAAAAAGCTTTGACCAGATAAGTTACCTAGTGCTTATTCTCAGCCATTTATGTACGTAAAGCTAACATAAAAGTCTACCTAGCCCTCCTCCACTAACTTCAACACTTCACCAAGGTATCTCTTCAAACACATATCTCATCAGGGGTACCAGTTTACAGAAACTCATCTGGAATGAAGAAACTTAAAGGAAAGAAAGTAATTTTTAAGAGCTCATGAGAGTTCCTAGAAGGGTTTTAAGATATTTGGAGTCATGTTTTATAAAAGTCACAGGGAGAGACAGTAACAAGCTTACCTGTAGCAAGAAGCACGAGCTCTTGGTCAGGACTCCAACTCATGACAGAGATACCACTGGCTACACTCCCAACGCATTCCAGCTGCATCAGTGGACAAAAGCGAGTTTTTGAAATACAGCTGAAGTACAGGTGAAATACAGCTGAAGTACAGGTGAAATACAGCTAAAGCCATGCTGACAACTTTTTGTAAAGAAATACATAATGCAAAGACTCTAATTTGCAAAACGCTTAAATGTAAAATTTACGCATTAGCTCCTGAGTTTTTAAGCTTCTACACAAAACACGCAACTTGTTTGAGGATGCTTGAGAGTTCCTCCTCACTGGACTCCTCCACTTACATGGCATGTGCTGAGACTGCAGAGTATGACATCTCCAGAGGCTGTGGCCACACACACAGACTCCTGATCCAGCAAGTCCTGAATACCAACAATGCAGCCACTTCCATCCTCTGGAAGAAAGCCTTCAGCCACTAAAGAAATCTCATTTTTCACCTTTCACCAAAACAAACACATAAACAAATTAGGCTAATCTATTTGCAAGAACAATTCATAACATGTCCAAAACAAATTAATGGTTCCTTTCTAATATAAAAGCTTTCACTTTTTTTCTAGATTAAAACCCAAACTTTCATTTGAGAATATCGCAACACTACTGTCCTTAATAATAAAAAAAAAAGTTAATGGGACCTTTTTGCCAAGCAAGCACTAAACAAAAGCAAGAAGAATGGTCTCTTAAAAAAAAGCCCTATAAACATGAAGCTAATAACTATGGTTTTCTAAAATTTCTATAGTATGGGGGAAAAGAACTAAAAATGTAATCACCTAAAATACATTACTAGCAGAATATAATTAAGGGAAGATCTCAGAATCAACTCAAAGATTTTTTAAGTATGTGTATACATACATAACACACATATACATACATATGCATACATACACATATACATAAATATACACACACATATACATACACACACACATACATACATACACACACACACACACTCAGGGTCCAGCAGTGAAGATTCTGATTTAGTTGGCATGGGATGGAGGCTGAAACACAATTTTAAAAGGCTCTACAGGCAATTTTCACTTACATTCCCAGTTGAGATTCACTGTTATTTACATGATGAAAGGGTAAAAAGTAGGGCATCCAAACAAAATATAAAGTCAGAATTTTGCCAACTTACATTTCAAACAGAAGCAGAGTTAAGGGTAGGTTACTATTTAAGTAATGTCTAATATGACCTGATATAAAGCAAAGGGAATGTCCATTTAGGAGAGTATGAATTCAGTAAGATTTAAACTAAAGACAATCTAGGGGAAGCAGGTTTGGAAAAAGATAAGTTGAGGGTCCTGCAAGTGCTTGCATTCTCCATCACTAACTTACTTCTCTTGTGACAGGGTCTACTTCTATCAGTCCATGGTCTGAGCCAATGAGCACTGTCTTCTGTTCAGTTCGGAGAGAGAAGCACTGAGGTTTCCCCAGAGCCTGAATATCCCTGAACTCCAGGGTCCGAAATAACTTAAGATTTCTCATGATGAAACAATTCCTGAAAGAAAAGTACAAATATCCCTTGATGAAGAATTATTCTGAGAGAAAGGAATAGCTTACCAGTGATAAATTGACACTCATAGAAGCAAAATGATTCAGGGGCAGGGATGTGGTAGTTAGAATAACCAAAAAAAGAAAAAGAAAAAGACCTAATCTAAACCCACATAGGGCATGTGGTAGCAACCTCACCAACTCAGAGCATTTATCTATGGTCTACAAACTGAGGTTCTAAAATCTACTTTACGTTCTTACTCTTTGGGAGAGGCAAGATCCTGAACTTCAGAATTTCTTCTTCAAAAAGATTTAACATCAGTTATTCCTCAGAAAAGTTGAAAACATCAAAATAAATAGGAAAACATTTTATTTTTGCATATAAGAATATCTTTATAACCTGATTTATAAAAATCATATAAAAATCCATATATATATACACACAGTCAATTGAAGAAAATCTAGAATAAAATAGCTTCAATATCACCAGATAAATTTATTTGTAAACTGGCTTTATGTTTATGTATTCATTTTAAAAATAAATACTGAAATTAAAGATAGAAATAAAAGTATTTACCAATCTCAGAGAGGAAAAAAAAGACACTATGAAATTATAGCAGTTTACTTCAAAGTGATGACCAACCTCTGAGGAGCTTGATGACTTGATATAACTACTTCACGTAATTCGGCTCTCCTGGCCTGGTTTTTACCAGTGAAATAGAAAAGGTGAAAAAGGATGATAAATAGGAAATCTACTTTGGTCTGGCCAAATCAGACTTGCTTTAATGCATAACGTTAGCTAAGAGAAAAAAAAAAGAATGTTAACGTCCTGGATATTTATACTCAGACCCCATTCAAGTTTATAAAGTTTATAATTAGAAGTCCCTAACTTATGATAGGGGTGGCAAATATATAGAACACAATGGCCTTATTATCACCCTCATCCAAGGTGAATTCTCTCATCTTGCATTTCATACATATGACAATGTAAGAATAAAATGAGTTAATCCTTATCCTACCGCTGCACGTAATGGTTAAGTGTAATATAAAAATACAACATGTAATGTGGGTTAAGAGGAAGGCAAGACCATACATGGTGAGAGTGAGGAAGAAAATCAAGGCCAACATGGTTTTGTAAGCTTTGGTGACATTCATATTCAAGAACTTCTGGAAACTATCTGAACCTATATTACACCATGCAGGTTTTTAGAATTAGATCTAGAAAACTTTTTTTAAAATTTTTTATTGTTATGTTAATCACCATACATTACATCATTAGTTTTAGATGAAGTGTTCCATGATTCATTGTTTGTGCATAACACCCAGTGCTCCATGCAGAACGTGCCCTCCTCAATATCCATCACCAGGCTAACCCATCCTCCCACCCCCTCCCCTCTAGAACCCTCAGTTTGTTTCTCAGAGTCCATCGTCTCTCATGGTTCGTCCACCCCTCCGATATCCCCCCCTTCATTCTTCCCCTCCTGCTACCTTCTTCTTTTTTTTTTTTTCTTAACATATATTGCATTATTTGTTTCAGAGGTACAGATCTGAGATTCAACAGTCTTGCACAATTCACAGCGCTTACCAGAGCACATACCCTCCCCAGTGTCTATCACCCAGTCACCCCCTCCCTCCCACCCCACCCCCCACTCCAGCAACCCTCAGTTTGTTTCCTGAGATTAACAATTCCTCCTATCAGTGAGGTCATATGATACATGTCTTTCTCTGTTTGACTTATTTCACTCAGCATAATACCCTCCAGTTCCATCCACGTCGTTGCAAATGGCAAGATCTCATTCCTTTTGATGACTGCATAATATTCCATTGTATATATATACCACATCTGTCCAGTATCCATTCATCTGTCGATGGACACCTTGGCTCTTTCCACAGTTTGGCTATTGTGGACACTGCTGCTATAAACATCGGGGTGCACGTACCCCTTCGGATCCCTACATTTGTATCTTTGGGGTAAACACCCAGAAGTGCAATTACTGGATCATATGGTAGCTCTATTTTCAACTTTTTGAGGAACCTCCATACTGTGGAGAAAACGGGTTTTTTAAAAAATATAAAAATCACCTATCTTTCATCTTTAAACATACAGATGACCAGTGACACAGATCTGAAAGGATGGGTAGATTCGAGATGAGAGACTGTCTGGCTAGAGGGGAGTAAGCAAGTAATAGAGGAGCAAGAAAAGAGGACAGACAGGCAACTGGGGTCCAATGTGTAGAGTCTCCTGTCTTCCATGCTAGTTTATCTAATAATAATCATACTGTTACTGTTGCCATTATCAGATCATCAAAATGTCTTCATATTCCTCCCTGTAAACTTGGATTCCATTAACCAACAACCTGTGGAGCCCTGGGGTCCAAGGACCCCAGGATAAGAATTTGGAGGATAAAGACAAGGAGCTGCGGACTCTCTGGCTGCGCCAGTCATTGTCATCCCAGCAATGGGCCTCCACTCTTGAAGGGGCCCTTGGTCTCAGTCCCTAGCACTCCCAGGACCAACCTTATCAACCCCACCCCAACAGATATTAGCACTAACCAGGCAGTCTCTCTCCAGACACTGAAATCCAGAACGCAGGACTCCTCCTCTGAATTCCAGAGTCCTCAACATCAGAAGTCTGAGTCCCAGCTCTAATAGTACCTCTCCTCCAAGATTAGGTCATGATAACTCCATCTTCCCCTGTTTTGAACCCAAGCCCTAAGCTAAGTGTTGTAGCTACTTCCATCAGTTTACCTTTTACTTCACTGCTCCCTTTTGCTTTTATCCTTCTAATAGCTACTTAACCAATTCTTCATATTAAATTCTGTTGAAATTTTGTATGGTTTCTACTTTCCTGATTGGACCCTGACTGACCAACACAGCAAACAATGGGTGTTTTCAAGTCACAGAGCTTCCAAAATCACTGACAAAGGTGAGCTCATCATTCATCTCCCCCATCCCAACCATTCCAAGCTCAAAAGGAACTTCTCTAACTTTTCACACCCATCATCCTTATTCCCTTTTCTCAAAAGTGTCCCCACTCCTTTTCAAGGCTAGGCAAGTAGTATCCTCCATGCTCCCCCAGGACCTCAACTTACTAGTACCCTTTCTATTACATCTGCAATCCCCAACTCTCTCACCCTCGATTACACTTTTCCCAGCCCTTAACTGTGCTAAAGATCTCTTCATACCACAGATCAAGTCTGTATCTTCTCTGAAATTTCTGGCAATTCCTCCACCCTCGCTCCTCCATCCTTTTGCCTCTTGGCTAATTACCATGCCCATGACTACCAGTATCAGAGAACTCACTGATACGCTGATTAGATCTACATGTCTAGCCCAGACCCTCCCCAAAGTGAACAATAAACCCACAGTTTCAACTTCCTGCTGTTATCACAAGAATGTCTCACAAGCACATCAAATACAACCTGGAAAACGAAGTATTGCTATTCTCCTATTCAAATGAGTTTCTATTTGAGGACATGGCATTTCTTCTACTCTCTCTGCCCTCCCCCCGCCCCAAGCTGAAAACGGTCTTTCCCTTCTTTTTGCTCACATTTCATATTAAACTATTCATTTACTGGTTAGTTCCATCGCTTTTTGAATCCTTTGCATAGTGTGAAATCCATCATACGACCCGGTTTATGGCCCACATGAAACATCTAAGCACTTGGTAAGTGCAAGGATCTGAAGACAAGAGAGGACTCTGTCACTGCCTACACGGAGGTCACAGCTTAAAGGGAGAGAGAGCCATATAATATGCACTGGATGGAGAAGTACAGGACGCAGCTCCACGAAAAAGTCGTAGATGCGAGAAGCAGCGCCAAACACTCATCCAATCCACTAACAGCGGTCGCACATTAACTGGTTCGGCGGTACTGTCCACTCCTGCAAAGAATTCAGAAGCTGGGTAAATGTGCAGCCGGAGGAGCAACACATCGTCCCCGGAATGCAGCGCAGTGCCCCCGGATGGAGCAGGTGGCATGTCTGCAGAAAAAGAACTCAAGGCTCAAGGACAGAGGTAGTCACGCCGCACTCCACTCCCGAGCCTTCTGCAGCAGGCAAAGGGTGCACGCTCCAGGGTCCCCTTAGGACATCCCGAGGACACGCCCGATTCCGTGCCCTCCACCCCGAACGCTCACCTGCGACGAGCTCCGAGGACCCGCAAACAGCGGTGCGTCCACCCTCTCTTCACCGGCCACGCACAGCTGGCCTTCCAGAGCCCGCGCGAAGCTGCACACACACACCTCTCCGTCCGCGACTCTCCAGCTTCCGGGACGCGCACGGGGCTGCCCGGCAGCTCGACCACGGGGAGTAATGGCTAAAGGTGGGCGGAGGGTCGACCCGTGAGACAGCGAAGAGCGAGCGAAGCAGGCGGGACACGCGCCCAGCGGCGAGGGAGTGACGTCACGAGGCGGCGGGGGCGTGGCCGGCCTTCTCCAAAGCCCCGGCTAGCTAGAGGTGGGGAGCGGCGCTGCCCCTCCGTCCCTGTCCCCCCACCCTCCCGCCCAGGCTATGGTATTCGATCCCCGCTTTGACGTCGGACTCCAACAAAACAGTGCTAAGAAACTCCGGTGGCGGAGTTGGCTGGGCCAGGGAGCAACGCGCGTGCGCACGCCGCGGGCCGCAGGCCGCGCGCCGGAAGTACGCCCTCCTCCAGGGCCTGCTCGGAGGAAGTGCTCGGGTCTCATAGGGCGGGGGTGGTGGCGCCCCTGGTCGCCATGGCCACAGAGCCCGCGGCCGCCGAATCGACTGTTCCGTCGCTCGTGGATCGTTACTTCACTCGCTGGTACAAAGCCGGTAAGTGGAGAATGGTGTCGGCTTCTGTTCGGCCGCATTTGCCTGATGCTGTAGGGACGGTGGTGACAGGTCATGAGACACGCGCGTTTTCCCCGTCGCTTCCTCCCCATAGTAGAAGGAACTGGATCTCCGTTCCTTTCTAGGCGGAAGGAATGGCAGTCGCAAAGCCGTGGAGGGCTGCAGTACATGCGGGCGCACTTAGGGGCTGGCGTCGCGGTGCGAGTTGAAGGGTGGGTCGCTTGCGGGAAGATAGTCTAAGGTGAGGCACCACCCCTAGGGAAGGTGGATTGCAATCGCCCTGAATGCCTGCAAGGATTTGACTGGCTCAGTCCTACAGCAGTGGCGATACGTACAAAGATTTAAATGATCAGGTCGAAACTACGGTAGAGGCAGGGACGGAGAGGAGAACTGGGTTAGAATGGAGGCATTCAGAAAGCAAAATCTAACAGTTTTACTGAAAGTTGCTGGTGTCATATACTTGTCACTTGAAGTAGATATCGTGTTGTCCTGCTTTGTGTACCCAGTAAAAATCAGTGGTGGGAGCATCGTTGAGGACCCTTCTCTAACCCCTACTTGCTCCCTTTCATTCAGGGATAATAGGTGTACTTATTTTTTTAAATATTATGGCATACAATTTTTTAGCCAAATTTAGGGTGACCCGGTTTATCCAAAACTGAGGGGTTTCCCATGAGACTTTCAGAGCTAACATCTAGACAGTCCTGGGTAAACCAGAAGAGTTGGTCACTCTAAAATTGACCGATAAAACATATGGTACTATATAATACAAAGAATGCATTGCTAATGGCAATTTTTCTAATAGAAATAATGAATGTACTCATTTTAAAGTGAGGATAAAGCAAGATGGAGCAAAGAGTTAATAATCACTTAATACTGAATGAATGATTCCATCTGGGCCAGATCTCTTTAAATACTTTACAGGAAGCCTTTATGTGTATCTTTTTAAGTAATGAAGGGATACCAGTGATTAGTGTGTATTCAGTCTTCATAATTATCTCTACAAACCAAAGAAAAATACCACACAGTGGCAGTAAATACTGACCCAACAACCAACAGACTCATTCATCCTTCTAGATGTCAAAGGCAAACCCTGTGAGGACCACTGTATACTACAGCACTCCAACCGGTAAGCAAATTGGGAATTTTACATTATTAAAAAAAAGTTTCTGGTATTGTAGCCTGGTATGGTCTTGGAATAAACAAATATTCATTAAATGATTATCTTCCACTGTGTTGAAATGGCATTTATTAGAGGAGTCTGGCTGACAAGAATGAGCCTTTCAGTGCATACTCCAAATAAACTTGATTACCCAAACATCCAGATGGAGGACCACACCCTCAGCCAGCCACTGTGTGAAATAACCAGCCTGTGCCTAACAGTGAATTGCCGGGGCTCACAGAAAGGACTAGGGTAGATGCACAGGTAGTATCCTACACATACAGGGATGCCTTACTTTTCTCTCTTCTACCTCAGTTCTACCTAAAGACTTCTAGTACTCTTCCTTTTTCTGAGAAGGATATTCAGTTTCATTTTCTCCTCTTCTATTATTGCATTCCCTTCTACAGTTAAGCTCCAGCAGTAGCCAGAGGAAAATGTGGGGAAATGATAGTTTGACTCAACAAATGTCAGTTCATATATTTTTGTGTCAGTAGGAGTACTGTGTGGTATGAGGAAGAATTATACCAACCAATAACACAGCATCAGATTTTTGCTCCTTATAGAATATGTGTCATCACATTGGCAGAATCTCATCCAGTTCTTCAAAATGGAAAAACAATTAAAAACATCTCCTATCAAATCAGTACCAACTGTAGCAGACTTCAGAACAAGGTCTCTGGGAAATTTAAGCGGGTATGTTCCTGTCATTCTCTACTTAAATCTTCAATGTCTTAGTAATGATAAATCTAGTCAGTCTTAGAATCCAGTGATATATGCTCAGCATACTCCCCTGACAGTCTGATATGCCTATTTTTTATTTTTTTATTTTTATTTTTTTTAAGGATTTTATTTATTTATTTGAGAGAGAGAATGAGAGACAGAGAGCATGAGAGGGAAGAGGGTCAGAGGGAGAAACAGACCGCCCGCTAAGCAGGGAGCCCGATGTGGGACTCGATCCCAGGACTCCAGGATCATGACCTGAGCCGAAGGCAGTCGCTTAACCAACTGAGCCACCCAGGCACCCTGATATGCCTATTTTTTAAAAAAAATATTTAATTATTTATTTATTTATTTATTTATTTTAGAGAGAAAGCACAAGCAGGAGGGGCAGAGGGAGAGAGAGAAAATCTCAGGCAGACTATGTGCTGAGCGCAGAGCGTGACAGGGCTTGATATCATTACCCTGAGCAGAAACCAAGAGTCGGACACTTAACTGATTGTGTTACCCAGGCACCCGTGATGTGCTGATGTTAAGACTACTTTAACCCTAGGGGCACCTGGGTGGCTCAGTCGGTTAAGCGTCTGCCTTGGGTTCACGTCATGATCCTGGGGTCCTGGGATCGAGCCCCATGTTGGGTTCCCAGCTCAGCAGGGAACCTGCTTCTCCCTCTCCCCCCTGCTCGCATTCTCTTTCAATAAATAAATCTTTAACAACAACAACAAAAAAGAATACTTTAACCTCAAAGAAATTCTTAGACCAAAAAATAAGATTATTTCAGGAGGTATAGGATTTGTCATATTTTTAGTTCTGTACCACCATTCCTATCATTCCCAGGGTGGAGAATGGGGAAGGCAGGCCTTTGAAAGGATAACTTTTATACCAATATAACAAGATATTTTGTCTCTTCTAGTTTTATTAAGCCAGTATCCTGAGTTCTATAAAATTTAAGTGACCAACTCTTCTTTACCATGTACTTTCAGATGTAAATTAAAAAAAAAAAATACATCCTCAGGTAGTGAAAAAAAAATCAGTCTGAAAAAAATACAGTATTTGCTCCTTACCATTTTCCATTCTTTAATCATTGCCAATTTAATACATATCTAGCCACCCCCTGTACCTCCACACAATGCTGGGTTGTACAGGATATTATCTCTACCCTCTACAACTTCAGGCAGGATGACACATTTTATTAGAGTATCACACCAAGGACAATTCAGTAACACTGAAGTATCCCGACATATGCACTTGGATAAGAAGGTTTCAGTGGATGATTCAGGTCCTTCATTTTCTGACTTGATACTAAGAGTTTCTGCTAATTACCCTCACTGTTGTAGGAGACCCTTGTTTATACTCCCCTTTGTAGGTTTGAAATTTTTCCTTGCTCAGGAAACACATGGACTTAGAAAAGCATGAACCTTTCTTAAAAGGTAAAGTCTTCCGGTGATGGGTATTAAGGAGGGCACGTACTGCATGGAGCACTGGGTGTTATACGAAAACAATGGATCGTGGATCACCACATCAAAAACCAGTGATGTATTGTATGGTGACTAACGTAACACAATAAAATTTAAAAAAAAATTTAAAAAGGTAAAGTCTATAGGGACACCTGGGTGCCTCAGTCGGTTGAGCATCCAACTCTTGATTTTGGCTTGGGTCATAATCTCAGTGTTGTGGGATCGAGCCCTGCGTTGGGCTAGAGCTGAGCATGGAGCCTGCTTGAGATCATCTCTCTCTGCCCCTCCCCTCCAGTCCCCCCACCTCCAGCTTCTTAAAAGAAAAAAAAGATAAAGTCTACAAATTACAAGTATAACAGTGTTTTGTGAAGTTCCTGTGATAAATCTTTGTCCAAAATAGTAACACTATTGTTACTATTGAAGAACAGAGGAGAACCTGCATATGGAACCCCACTACAGATAAGTTTTGATTCTCAGCATTGCCAATCATTTATTCTCCCAAGGGAGGTGATAAAAAAGGGTCAAAACACTTATGCTCTTTTAACATAAACCCAGTGATAGACACACCCTTTGGGACAAATCCCCAGCCCCTCCTCCCAAAAGTGAGGAGTCACACTCAGAAGTATTTTGAAATAAAGTACCCATATGCAGACGATTGAAGCCAATGTGGTAGCATCTGTAAGCTGTCTAGTGTTTTGAGTGGGGGGCACCTGGGTGGTCAGGTGGCATCTGACTCTTGGTTTCAGCTCAGGTCATAATTTCGGGGTCCTGGGATCAGGCCCCATGTCTGGTTTTGCGCAGAGCTTGAAGTCTGCTTTTCCCTCTCCCTCCTCCCACTCTGCTAGTCTCCCCACCCCACCCCACTCACAAGTTCTTTCTCTCTCTCAAATGGATAAATCTTTTTAAAAAAAGAGAAAAAATAATGTTTTGAGTGGTAAAGAGTCATAGAGAATAGCATCTTGACCTCAAATACCCATGTTAACTATAGGAAAAGTCTCTGGGAAAATGAGCAACATAGACAGGCGTGCATCAGTTTCCCATGAGCTTCCTTGTAGATATTTGTCAGA